GCAATTATACGTTCAAAGTGCTTTACAATCACTTAGCTATTCCTCACAACAGCCCTGTGAGGTAGGTCGACATTATTACCCCCATTTTACAGATGGGGAAACTGAGGCACAGAGAGGTTAAGTGTCTTGCCCAAGGTCACACAGCAAACAAACGCTGGAGCCGGGACTAGAACCCAGGTTCCCTGACTCCCAGTGTCCTTGAAACTAGACCATACTGCTTCCAAAGAGGCATCCCCAGACTGGCTTTGAGCACAAATTAAAGACGGACAATGTTGGATGAGGTTTGGGTGTGGTGGTATTTCCCGTGGACACGTTAAGATGGAACCTGAGGTGTTGCCTGGGTTGGTTTTGGCATGCGGGTATATGTGTTAGTTTAAATGGGTGTATCTGAGCTTCCTGCCCTGCCCATTTCTCACTGCATTCTCAACTGGGTCACAGCAGAGAGCGGGAGCCGGATGGCCAGGAGGTCATGACGGACTGGCATATAAAAGGAACTTGGTCAGCTCAGCGCCAAAGGGCCTGCCAGTCTTTAGGAGTTCGGGCAAACTGGGGATGCAGGACTTTGGAACAGAGTCAGCTGCCCACCTTCAGCAGGTCTGCTTAATCGTTTTATTATTATTTTATTTTTTTTCTCTCTCTCTTTTTTTTTTTTTTACTGGCCAGCATCAGGAAGTTGTGTTCATTTCATTTCTCTGTGGGGCGGCTGCCCCCCTCCTTTTCTCTCTCTTATTCTTTCCCTTTCTCTGAGTCTCTGCTTGGAAGGGAAAACTGGTAAGCCTTGCATGTCCCCTTTCATGAAAAAGAGCCACCGTGAGCAGCATCCGAGACAGAGGCCACGGCTCCGCAGGTGAGCCACGCCCCGCTTCCACCTTCTGGAGCACTGCTTTGCTTGGAAGGGGTCTCCCTGGGGCCTTGGGTTTGCTTTTTCCTGCATTTCTCCCGAAATGCTGTTTCAGCAGAAATAAGCCCACTTGAGACTTTTCCCTTTCAAGGCCTTAGCCACAAACGCCTTCCGACTAACGAGCTTGGTGCTGCAGCTCAGGCAGAAAATTCTAAAGCATCCGTTCAAGCATCTGAAACAAATGAATCAGCCAGTGAAATCTCATCTGTTAGCATCTGTTCTCCTCTTAGATTAAAAAAGGAAAAGAAAAAAAAAAAAAACCCTTTTGATGGCTTTAGATGGAATCATGCTTTAAAAAAAGAAAAAAATCTTGCTACTTCTTAGACTAAGGTGACTCAATGACAGGTGTCTCATACTCTAGAGCACCCCATTTTCCTGTCTCTGAGCACCAGGCCTCCCCCAGAAGGCCATGGGGAGGCCCGTGAGGGACTGAGAGTCACGCGCCCCTGGTATGCCACCCACCTTTCACTTGGTCACCATCTGTCGGCCGGGACACAGGCTGCAACATCACCCAAGCTGACAACCTAATTCTTCGGAGCTGGAAACAACACTCTGCTCCTTAAGCCCAGCTTCCACAGAGTTAAAAAGACTATCACTCTGAGGTCTTCCTGGGCCGGCTCCCACCTGGGATGAGTGAGGGCCAGTCTCCTAGGGTTTCACTAGAGTGTCTTTTGCATAAAGGAAATCCTTGGCTGTGGGAAGAGAAATGAACAGAACTTTTCCCACTTTGGGACCTTATCTTTTCCGTGAGATACAGGACGGGCTCTGCCTGTATCTGGCAGGAAAGTCCTCCTCTGGAGGTCTGATGGGACATTCAACATGCACTCCTGGTTGCCGGGAAGGGGACTGGCTGAGAGCTGAGTTCCTTTATTTACTTGCTCCTCGTGGGAACTTGCAGGTCACTGGGATGCAGCAACATTGGATGAAGAGCAAAGGCTGAGTCAAACTAAAGTGAATATGGTATGTAGGGAATGAGTGAGGAAAATAAAAGGCCTGATGCAGCTTCTCTCTGATTCCCTCTGTAGAGGGGCTGGAGAGAAGGCTGGCTTTAATGATGAGGATGGATGGACAGAGAGAAACTGCACACTCATTCAGACCACAGAGGCCAGAGGATACCAGGTGCCAAGCTCCTACCCACACGCGGATTCCGGAGCTCCTCAAGCCATTCCCCTTCCTGTAGAAGGGGCACCGCAGTTGGTCTGAACAGAGGGAGACCAGATGGAGCCCACAGGGTTGAAGACCACAGTGCATCTCTGTGCTCTTGAAACCATCCCATGGGGAGGGGGGCAGAAAATTCAGAGCAGCACTGATGCTGTTCAGACAGATTGCACGCTACGCAGCACAACACGCACATGCCTCGGCCTCGACCTCTGCGTTCACACTGTGATGCCCACATTCCACTTTCCATTAGCAATCTGTCAGCCACAGGGCACCCCGGCACAGAGAGAAGCAACTCATTCCATAGTCGGGGACTTCCTTGGGGACCTGTGTCCTTGTCTTAGAGACACTGTCGATACGTTCCTCCCATTGCCATTCAACCCCACTTCCCTAACTGCCACATCGCCACATAATCCTGCATCGTGCAGAAGAGCCTCCTCACGCTAATTAAATGCAGTGACAAATCACATTTAAACCATTTCTATAGCAGAGGAAGGCAAAAATGTAATTAGAATTATCCTTCAAGGAGACAAAAATATTCTATTTTAAATGTTTGTTTCAGAATGCATTTTTAGAGTGTCTCTGTCAATATTATGAACACAACTTAATTTTCTAGGCTGTGTACACAACATAAATTATAGACATAGCCTCCACTCCCACTAGAACCATGTGAAAATGTGTTGATATTATCATCAAACTTTTACCAAGGAAATGAAACTCTATAAACAATGAGAAAATTTAGGAGGGAAAAAAACAAAACCTCAACATAAATTTAACACAAGGTAATAGTCTTTGAACCCATGACTTACAAACGTAGCTTTAGCATCTTTAACCCTTCATCTTAAAGCTCGTTGAACCCCACCCAAAAAGTGTGGTTGTTTTCAGGTTTTAAAACATTAGCACCCGAGCCCGCCACCAGAGCAAGTGCAGACGCCATCTAATCGGGGGGTCTCGGGATTCACAGAGAAGAACCCGGTCATCCAGAGCACCACAAGTGTCTTCCACAGAAAACAGGTCTCAGTACACAGCGCTCACTTGGTCGCTGTAAATTATGACGAAAGCCGTCCATGAAAGAGTATGTTTACCCCTCCAGAAAGTCCAGCTCCAGCCCCACCAACTGGCACCCTCGAGCAGCAGACAGTACGGTGGCGGCACCACGGGGCCCAGAGCTGGCCGGTCTAGTGCTCAGGCCCCGGCCTACTGTAGGAAGCAGCCTTCAGAAACAGGCTCCTGCCCTCAATTTGCACCCAACTCAGTCTCACTGTTCTCAAGAACACACGGACCAGAGTCTTGCCCACAAGATGTGCAAACACATCTTCTCAGTGTCATTGTCTGCAAGGCTACTTGTGCACCGTGATCTAGGCTGTCACTTTTGAAAGCTGGGTCAAGCCAGAGGGGAGAGAGCTTTACTGACAGGTTCCACAAACCGAGACGGCAATTAGCTATTTGGCTGAGCCTGTGATCCACCGAGTTAAACCTTTAATAAGAGATGCGATCAAAGGAAGATCCGAGATGGTCAAACTCCACATCCACTGTCCCCTTCCCCAACCCCACCCCCCCCCCCTGCAGCTGTTCCTCTGGAACCTGCAAGTCGCTGTCATACAAGGTCATCTACTACCCTGGCAGAGACACGCGCTCCCATGTTCCTTCACTCATTCATTCACTGCCATTCATATTCACGTTCTCGCAGTAAGGACACAGGTTAAGTCTTCACTTGGTGCTTATTATCCCTTTGAACACAAAACCATGCTGGGTGTTTTCCTCAGGAAAAAAAAAAAAAGGAGAGAACTGGAGAACGATCCCATATCAAAGCAAATCAATAACTACGAGGCCCGATTTAAGACATGTGGTGATACAGGGACGTGCAGAGTAATTTTAGAGTAAATAAATAAAACAGGAAAAAGTCTTTATCTTATTCATGATGGACTTAAAGCACTTGGGGTAGCACAGATGACAAGACATTTGACCCACTGCACCGCTGCTTCTGACAGCTTGCAACGTCTGCAGTTCCCTTTCTCCAGTTCTCAGCATCTTTTCTTGATCCCTCGTCAGCCTGCTTTCTCCATCACCAGCACTCACGAACTCCCCTCCTAGCCTCCTTTCCTGCAGGTCCCCATGGAAAGCCCTTCCTCCACACCTGCTTCCCATCACGGGGGCCTCGGGCTTCCTTAGCATTCTATGTCCCTTGAAGGCACGGGCCCTGATTGGTACCAAAGGTTCCCGAAAGCCACATCCCCACGCTTGGTGCTGGGGCAGGGGCAGGGCTGAGGGAGGGATGGGGACCAGAGGCTGGCCTGGGTGTGAGAGCACAGCATTTGCACAGCAAGCCTCAGGGCAATCAAGAGAAACACACAGAGACAGGCAGGCGCACACACACACGAGCACACACATGCACACACACACACAGCCACCAGGAGAAATGCACAGACACACACACACACACACACAGAGCACACACGAGGAGGTGATGGATGTTACTGAAATGGACCGAAAACCAACAAGCAGTGGGGTAAGAAACAAACAGAAACAAAACAAAGCACTTGCGTTCAGATGGAAAGCTGTTTAGTGGGAGGCTGGGGGCCAGGGCCCGGGGCTGGGGGACCTGTTGGGGGAGGGGCACTGCCTTTGGAGGAATCAGGAGGAAATAGGGCACAAAGGCAGGGCTGGCTCTGCTCCCCTCCCTGCAGGGAGGTGCCTTGGCCGCTGTCCTGGGGCCCTGCCAAGTGGACTGCAGCAGAGGCGGCACAACAGAAAAAGGAAAGAGGGAGGCACTTACCTCGTGGCCCAGAAATGGCTAGTCCACATTTGGGGGACTGTGCAATAGCTCAGTTTAAACAAAATCCTTGTGGTACTGCTCAGCCATGAGTAGTCAGCTCTCTAGTATTTCAAATAAGCTGGTAACATCATTAGTGAAAAGAGAAAAACCAAAACAACAATTCACCTGGAGAGCGATCGTGGTGTTCTTCGTAGGGTGCTTTCCCACCAGTCCTTGTTCTTTTCGTTTCTTGAATTTCCTAAAGTAGTCCTGTATCAGGAAAGTGGCATAGAACTTCCCCACGGTTACCTCATCATCTAAACGGAGAGACCAGACAGAGCTCTCCCGAATCAGCACATTTGGACCAAGAGCCTCAACACTCACTTCTGGCTGGGGACAGGGCTGGGGCGCGACAGCGCAGAAGGCACCGAGCTCTCAGCTGACACCACGGGGGACTAAATCTAGCAAAAAGCAAGGTTTTGCAAAGCAGTCAAGGCTCAAAATTAGAGTCAGTTAAATGAACTGATACTCAAAATTGCAAAAACAAAAAAAAAAACCACCATAGTATTATTTGTCATGAGTTTAATAGAGCAGCATATTAGTAACACTATGAAGTGCTGTCTTGGTTATTTACTTAAAATAAAAATTATAAAAAATTATAAAACAAATAGAAAGGCTTCGTGGGTCGTATTTTCACCCCTGCACATAGGGATTTGCGTGGGTAATCACCATGAACGCCCAGGGCAATTAACCATCCAAATCCAGATGCCTCGAGATAAAGATAGAGACCTCAGGAAGGTGACACACAAGCTCAGGAGAGGACGGTTCAGAAAAGTGGCTGCAAATCCAGCTTCTCGTGCCCCCTTTGTTCTCTACTAATAGCCTCCAGAAACCATTTCCTGGCGTGTAATTCAGAGCTGCTTGTTTTCTGCGCTGCAAGTGGCAGCTCCACCTAACTTTAAGGTTGGGCTGCCATTTCTGATTTTTAGAAACAAGCCCAACACGTATCATTGGGGAACTGGAACTCTGCTGAGCATTTTAAAGGAGATGCATGAGGCAGAATAGAGGCTCTGGCTGTCTCATGGTAAACCACCTTAGCAGTGTGGGGATGCCCCGGGGGTCTCCACCAGCCCTGCTCTCCAAGAGCGCTGGCCACCAGATTTGCAGTGTGATAATGGTTCCTGGGTAGACAGCACAAGACTGACTTAGTGCCGGGCCACACCAAGGTCTGCTCAACATGACTTGCGGAGGCTGGGAGAAAGAATGGCTGCTGGTCTCTAAACTTGGAGCCCAGCCACTCTTCTAAGAGTTACAGGTGATCTGGGGCAAAGGGTTCAAGTCCTCAGGGCTGGTGCTCTCATTTGTAAACAGAAGCTGTGGGGATCATATGAGGTGAGGCACTAATGTCCCCAGCCCCCTCCCTCGGTGGTCCCAAGTGCCAGAGACTGGGTGACTGTGAGGCCTGAATGTTACCGCTTCACCATCCACTGACAGTGCATCCACTGAAAAGGACGGCAGAGCCTGACAGGATGGGGGACAGCAGGGCCCACATACTCACTGATGCACCCTGGGTGGGGTGCTCTTAGTGGCCCTGTGGGAAGTCTCCCCACTGGTACACTGTTGGGCACCCTGGGCTGCCGCCCCACCTTCCTTGTCCGAAGCTACTCAGTGCTATGGTGAGACGGTGCCCTGTATGTCCGGCCTCAAGGACTGTGCCGCATTCCTTTTAAACGTGAGCTTGGCAAGTCCTGGAGTAGAGGGGGGAGGGGCACCAATGTGAACTAAGGCTCTGCGCAGCATGTGACTCCATGGCTCTCCTGAGTCTCGGGCTCGTAGAGACAGTCTATCATACACCTTCTGTGGGCAAGGAAGTGTGAGGGGAACAGAGCCCACTCAGCTCTTGGCATTTCATTACCTGCCATGCTTTTGAGCTGCTCCCCATTTTGCCTTGAACATATGTGGAAAACCAATTCTAGCTCCCCCACTACCAGATGCCTGCAGTTGCTAGGCCTGTTCCAGAGGAATTCCACATGGGTCTCAGGGCCTCCTCACAACAATTCAGAAGGTAGAACTGCTCATGCCCCTTGACAGGTGGAGAGAGGTTAGATGACTGGCCAAGGTCATCCTGTTGGTGTGTGAACAGGAGGTGAGCATCTCCCGAGTCTGGGCTCTCCTCCTCTGCACCCCTCCCCTAGACACATGGGCCAGCTGCTTTGGTGGGGCGGCCTCTCTGAGTACAAGTCTATCCCTCTCTTGGCTGCATGCAGAAGGTAGACCAACTGCTGATGGAGCAGGGAGTCCTGTGGACCCACTGATTCTCTGCCTGCAGTGGCACAGACACCCTCTGCAGTCTGGGGCTCTAAGTCTTCTCTGTGGGTACCCAGAAGACAACAGTGGCTCTGTGTACAGAAGGCCCACCTCATTACACTATGAGCTGCTTCCAGTCAACTCAGGCCTGACCCATCTCCCTTCAGCCTGGATGGTGCTGCCCAGGGCCTGGGGGCTCCTGCAAGAGGCTCCTGGCTTTCTCTGGTCCAGGACCTGGGGCAGCAGCCTACTCAGAGCACAAGCTTCTGCCTAAGGGCAACTCCAGAGCAGAGGGAGGCTCATCCAGAGCTCCGCAGGGCAGGAATCAAGGACCACTTGGTCTTCCCTGAAACACTGAGCTAACCGAGACTGGGCCAGGAAGAATTCCTAAGGACAGAAAAATCCAGAGCTACCTCAGGATGGAGAAGACAGGAGAATAAAGACATCTGGGCACCTGGGCTGAGGGAGAGAAGGGGTCAGCACTGTGCTCTTTGGGGCAAAGGAACCAAAGATCCCAGTCAAGGAGCAATGGTCAAAAGGTGAGGAGAGCCTCTGAAAGAAGATGGGGCTTCTAAAGGATCCATGGAATGTCAGAAGACTGAGGATGGAGGTGAGAACATGAGTGAAACTCAGAGACGGGAAAGGAGATAGCCAGCACTGAGACGGAGCAGACGCACTGTCCCCATGGGCACCTGCACCCCTGGGAGAGAGCAGCAAAGGAAAGTTCTAATATTCCATGGCTTGCTCCTGATTATCAAGTTCATGACAACTGGGGGCGGGGTGAGGGGTTATATCATATCACCCTAGGTTACTGAAGTCTCTTAAGACAGCACCTGCTCTGCTCTGTTGCCAGGGATGTCAGGGGCTCCCTCAGCACCCTACATGGTCAGTCCCAGGTGCCAGGCAGGGGCAGCAGGGTCTCCGAGCAGGGGTACAGCATGCAGAACACTGAGCCCCTCAGCCTCGGGGAGCTACTGATCTACTGGCTCTGGGATCTGTATAAATATTCTCATTTCTGAACTACCAAGATGTGGGAAAGGCTGGCAATCAACTGGCTACTGGGAGAGAAAAGAGGAAAAACAAGAGACAAGTGGCAGGTGTAGTGACAAAAACCCTGCCCAGAAACTCATTCAGTCTGTTCCTGGAAGCCTTCTAGGAAGGTCGCTTTCCTTCTTGGTGCGTCTTCCTACCATTTTGGACTATGTTAGCACTTGTCATCCTGGAGGAAAAGCCACATTCACTTATTGAACCGAGAAGGTGGACGGGGATAGCCTATATTAAAAGTCTAGTAGAGCTAAAGTTGATCAGTTTTTCCTAGAAGAGGGCTTAGATGGTGGCCAAATTCTGGACTTTTTCCCCCCAGTAAAAGGAAAATAAATGGACTTTCACAGTAATGCCAAGGATGCTCTCCAAGTGAGTGTCCAGGGGCGGATGTGTGAGTGAGGCCTCAGGGAGGTGGCCTTGGGCGCAGCTGGGTGGGGCGGGGCCCCAGACCTGGGCAGGTTTACTAGACAGGCACAGCCGCTATTCTAAAGCATGCATTTGTGTTTTGAGCAACATTGTAGGGGAATACAATTGGCAAGAGATAACTCTGATTCCATGCCACCACCCTAAAACAGAATTGCTTCAGAATATTCTGAAAGACTGAGAGTTGAAAGGAATGGAGGCTGCAGAAAAAGCTCAAGCACATTATTACCACACTTTAAAAAGCAATTTATCTAAGCCATGCGAGCACTTGGGAGTACATAAAAGAATGGAAACCAAAGAGTTGTTTTAAATGTGCAGGCTCCGTTCTCCAGTGGGTTCTCAGGGCGGGAGTTGTGGCTTTTTGTTCTTTGGGATTTTTTTGGTTCATTTGGCTTTTTGTTCTTTTGTTCCCTTTCTTATTTTTTATGGACCATCTTCCCCTGCTCTCAGCTGGTGGCCGTGCCAGCTGTGGGTGTCTCCCTCCAGCTGCAAAAGCACATTCTGCTTCTCGCTTCAAGCTGATCAGCAGAGCTGGCCAGCATGCTCCTCGCTCTGCCCCCCATGAGCCAGAGGCTGTCACAGTCTCAGAGGGAGAGGCCTCGGTCACCACGCTGGCCCAGGGTTCGGAGGGTCAGCCTCCAGACCTGAGTCAAACCGATGTGGGAAGCTGCAGGGGAGGCGACACTATACAAGTGCAGTTGGTCACAAAGACACCAAAGACACCAAATGTTTCTAAGTACGGTGCCCTGGACTCGGGATGGTGAGAAAGCTGGCGTGGTAGCACCGAGTAAGTGGATCCTGCACCTTTAAAACTTGAAAATAAAAGGCAAAACAACCACCTCAGCTTAAGTCTACATGTATTTAAACAAAAATGGAAAAACAGTATATATAATATATATATATGTTTCATATATATATATATAAATCTGAATAAAGTTTAGTCAGTTATTTTACGATTAAATAACAAAAGGAAAGAGGCATGCCTGTTAGTTCTCTCTATCCTAAACTGTAAATTCAAGGGACATTTTTGGTAATTCTGGTGGTAAATCCAATCTTGGTAAGAACATTATAAAAATGCCATTTTCTGAAAGTTGGCTTTCTTTTTGGTGAACAGTTTTCAATGGTAGATTGAAGGATAAATGGAAATTCCTTTTAAGTATTTCACTTTGGAGGGAAAAATACAGGTTTTTTGTTTCGAGACCATAAGCTTGTTTCCCAGCATTGACTATTCATTCCCCCCCTGACCAGCAACCCCCAGCTCCAGCCATCTGGGCCTTGGTTTCCTTCCTCCTAAAGCCTCTCCTTTGTCTGGAATGGTCTCGCATTACCACAAATGATTACACCGAATGGCTGAAGGGCCTTTGTTAGCTGTGGCCTTACTGCTCTAGCGGATACAGAAAGCACCCTGCAAACTCTGGGCTGGCTGCAACATTCTCTTTCATTCAAGAACTGCTTAAGAAAGAGAGTACACTGACCACCAGCTGGAGGGACAACTTGGTCAAGCAGTTTCATGCTGGTTTTCTTCCAGATTTTCTTTATCACAGCTCGGAGTTCTTCATTAGCTTGTTCCAGGTTTCCTGAATTCAAAAAGCAATAGGGGTAACCAAGCCTTGCTGCTGCTTTTTTTTTTTCCCCCAAAATGCTCAATTTATTTTATTTTCTTTTTAAAAAGATTTATTTATTTATACAAGAACTGGGGTGCAGGCCAGAGGTGTGGGAGGGTGAGAGGATTCACCAGAGACAGAGTGGGGAACAGAACAGGCAGACGGACCAAAGACACTGCTGAGGGGAGCAGCAGGCAAGGCAGGAGAGGTCTGCGCGCCATGTGGGTTTCTCCCTGGCCAGCTGGGAATCAAACCCGCACTGCAGAGGCTGCAGACAGCTTCACAGCACAGTGCTCAACCCACTGCGCCACCGGGGAGGCCCCAAGCCTTGCTTCTTTTACCCAGCAGTCCCCCTCTTCTCACTCCAGATGCTTCCATCCCACCCTAACTTAGATTGGTGTTTGGTCTTTGGATGGGATGTCCATCCCATCAGGCCCTCCCCAGTCAGGGCCATACACACACCCTATGTTCAGCAAATACCTATCAAGCCCTCCCAATCAGCAGTCCATCTCTGCCCTGGCCTCCCACTCATTTCTCCTGCTCTGGAACAAGCAGGGGCATGAGTCATCTCAAAATTTTCCAGGAGAAAGTGAAGTATATGTCAAGGCAGAAAAGGAGATTGATGGGGACAGGAACAGCCAGCTGGATCAGCGCAGACCCACTCATTTCCCTCACTCCCTTCCCCAGGGCCTCCCACTGACAAAGACAGGCCCAGAAGGGGAAGGCCAGTGGCAGCACCCCTCTCTTCTACTCCTCGTCCTGCTTCAGGAATGCTTACCTTCGGTCTTGATTTTGAGAGCCGTTCGAACCAAAGCAAAGAGGGTTGCATTAAACATGACTGTCCCGTCACTGTTGAGAGGCATGTTCATGGCCACTAGTCTCTGCAAGCACAAAGGAAAGCTCCCTGATTGAACGTGATGGATGACAGCCTCATCCCTTTATGAGGCTTATTCTCTGCTTAGCCCTCATCTCTGTTCTAGTCACCCCTTGATTCAACAGCCATTTGGGGAGCACCCACCATCCTGGGGGCTCTGAGATGACAATCACCAAAGTTTTAGTCATGAAAGGCATATGCTGACACGTGGTGTGTTTTGTTTGTTCGTTTTTAACCATCACTGTTTAGTCACTTCACTGTCCAAGCCTTCCTCTCCATTCTCATTACCAGCTCTGCCAGTGTCTGGGGTCAGGATATTCTGGGCATGTCCTGAGGGCTGCTGTCAGGGCTGAACGGTAGAACAGAAACGAGCCAGCACAGGGCCCAGGCTGTCTCCCAGCGTGGTCCACTCCCACTGCTGACACAGCCAGTGTCCTTCAGGGGCCCTGAGGAGACTTTTGCAGTGTTTCGTACGAGTTGATGCTGCTTCTTTGAAGGGTGGTCTTTCAGAGTGGATCCCTGCTTCCTTCCTCTCTGAGAGCTGGAAAGCAGGTGAGTGACACCTACTTTGGGTCCCAGTCACCTCATCTATAAATGTAGGGGACACACCCACACCAAAGGGGTCACACAAGGATTATGGACACAATGATTTCAGCCTGGTGTCTGGCTCCTGGTAAGTACTAGGTGACAGATAACTCTAATTGCTAATCATCTCACGTTCCTTATTTTTAGCTGATATGGTGTCCCAAGATTGAAAAAAATTCTTTTTCACCTCCCCGTTAATGAACACATAATTCCTAGGCCTGTTACTGACCATCCGTGTCTCCAAAACCAGTCCAGGCAGCCAGGACAGATATTTATTCACTTTTCCTGTCCAGTTCCTAAATCAGCAAAACAGATCACAGTGGGCCTCAAGGACACTTAGGTCCTTTACCTAAAAGCTGGAACCCCTCTCGTTCCTGGAAAGCAGAACAGAGGCTGGTCCTGGGAATTTACAAAAAAAAAAAAAAAAAAAAAAAACCCATGGTATCTATAAAATTTGGGTGACTCATGCTTTGTGCCTACTACAGCTAGAGTCCAGCCTGAGGAGAAGCAAAGACACCACGAGGACCCCGGAGACTTGACGGGGCAGCGGGGGGTGGGTGGTTTCTGGACTTTATGGGCAGGGAATAAAGAATTTCGCTCAGAACATTTCTTTAAAGGCCCAAGATAATGTTGGACTCTATTACCCTGGGTTCTGTTAGAACTGGCCCAGCAACCCTGGAGTGCTCAAACCCCAGACCTTTGGATCCCCAGGGTTCTATGCAAGGTGGGGGCCAGCTGTTATATGAACTGGCTGGGTTTCTCTAAGGTAGGGTTTCCAAAGGCAAATCCTGCTTTTCTTTTTTAAAAAGGAGAGTCCTTTCCCGTGACTATAGCCGACCCAAAGTGTTTTGTGCTGGGCTCCATAGAAGGGACAATATCTCAGCTACAGCCCAAGAGTTTGGTGTAAAGACTCAGGAACAGGGCGAATGGGAGACCTGGATCCACCCCTCAGATGCCTTCTCTCCCAATGGCTCACTAAGAAGGAAGGCTGCCCCAAGGCATGGGCAGTGGCGGGGCATGTGAACTACCGTGCCACTCTGAGAAGTGCCCAGCTCACAAGGCATCTCCACTCTACTTCCTGAGCAGGTCCTCAGGCCACCCCGCCCCTCGAGCCCCACTTCCACTGCCCTGACACTGGCTCTTAATACTTCACACTTAGGGGACCTCAACAGTTCTCCAGCCTCCAGTTTATTTCTCCAGGGCCAAGACTCACCCTCTGCTCATGTGCCTGCCCCAGGGCTCCTCCATTCTCCAGGGGACTCAGCATGGCACAGGAGGCTGCATGCCACTCTGCTCAGCTTGTGCCACTTTCTCACATTTTATCCACACCTGACTGACCAGTATGACTTCCATTCTCCTGCCTCTGAGTTTGTGCTTCCACTTCCTCCCTACTATGCCCTCCCTACTCCGGCAAACTCCGACTGTTCTCCTTCTGGATGGATGCAAGCGGCACCAGCCCCTCCACCCACCAATGACAGCTCACGCAATCCCCTTCCTGTCCTTACAGTGGCAGACAGGGTGTACTAGCGGGGACACACCTGCCAGCTCCTCCAGGCCAGCAGCCCCCTGGCCCCTGACAGCACCCTTGGCAGAGTGCCCCTTGGTGTTTGCTGAAGAAAGCAGGGGCCCCTGCAAAAAGGCTGTCAGACAAGCCAACAAGATGCTTACCTTGCAGGCAACCCTGTGCGGGCATAATTTCCCAAACCCCAGGGGAGGCTGAATACGGCGGAGCAGAGTGACCACATCGAGGTGTTTGATCCTTCCCCTGGAGACAAAGTGCACATGAGGTCCAGGGCACCACTGCCTGAGCTTTCAGTTCACCCCACCTTCTGCAAGCATCACAGCCAACATTCTAGAAACAGCCCCCCACAAGCCAGTTGGAATCCTTTTCAACCTACTTTGCTTCGGGGTCATATTCAGACCAGATTCTTTTGAATTCATCTAAATGATGAGGCCCCAGAATAGACCAGTCCCGAGTCAAATAATCAAAATTGTCCATGATGACAGCCACAAACAGGTTGATGATCTGAAAAAGCAAATTAGAAGGAGGGAGCTTCTGCTGTATGGTTAGACTTGAGTATGTGCATGAGGTTAGACTTGAGTGTGTGCTTCCCAAATGTGAGCGTCATGAGACATTTGAATACATTTCTCCAAGAGAGCTTGTGTAAACATTTCTTCCAGAGAATGCTTAAGGAAAAAGGCAGGTTTCTCACTACCCAAAGGGCCTTTGGTACAGTCCCAGGGAGGCAGGGTGTGTGTGTGTTATCTGGTCTTTCGAAGCACCAGTGAGGTTTTATAGTTTCACTGCCACCAAATAACTCTCAGGTCACTGCTATTTGCAGTGGTCGTGAACTTTCTCTAAAGGAACTAGCAGCCTACAGAGCTGGGGTGGGGATTACCCCAAGCCCTCTGGTAAGCATCAAACCCATGCTTACAAGAGAGGGGCTGGTGGCACCCTGCTCCCACTGCAGCGGCCTGACACAGAATGTCACAGGTGTGAACCCCAAAGGCTATACAGACATCTGTCAATGACAGGAGGGGCAGCTCTGATCACTTACCAGAAACGCGCAGAGCATGTAAAAACTGATGAAGTAGACAATGGCGAAGTTGCTCCCACATGTGTACTCCTCCCCAGGGCTGTAATCTGACTCGGGATCACACAGTTTCCCAGGGAGGCAGGCTAGCATGATCTCCTGCCAGGCCTCACCGGTTGCACACCTTTTTTAATCAAGCAAAGAAAGGGCTTTATTTAGTAGGGGAGGAAGAGATTGAGGGTTATGCCATTAACTTTAAAAAAAAAATTGTTTAATTTGAGCGAGACCTAAGTCATTCAGAGAAAAGCCCATTTGAAACTCTGAGCTTCCTACTTATTCTCAAATGCAACTTAGCCCAGTAAATGGAGATCCTGCTGTAACTCCCTTACTGGGTAATGATCATTTGATACAAGCACATTAATTCTTTTTGTATAAGCATGTGTTTGTTTTTGTTTCTGTTCTACTTTAAATACTTCTATCACAATATTTTAATGATTATCAATTATGTTTTTTAATGACCTAACATCTGACAGCTTGATTAGACCCCTTGACTTTGTTGGAAGCAAAAACCTGGAAACTACCTAACTTGAAAATGACTTCCTATCTATAGTTAACAGTCATTAGAAGTTGGTATAGCTTCTAGAAAGTTCTCTTACTTTGAGGCACCTGTTTACAAGGTTAATTAACCAGGGTTAAAAACAATGCATAGAATTGAAATTACACATTTTAGGATGTTCCCCACTGGCTGTGCAGGAGGTCTCCAGGCTGCTGTTCTGATTGTGTCTAAGCACAAAGCCCACGATTTTCCTGGTGGCCTTAGTAGACCTACTAACTCCCAAGTGGAAAACCTCGCCAGCCACAATGTGAACCACAGCCATTTCAACAGCCCAACAAAAATCCAGTATGACTGAAATGCTAGAGTCTCTTGTTTAAGACCACAAGACAGATGGACAAAGCTACTGCAGCTGACTGGGAAGGTCACACTGCTTAGTAACAAGTGTCCTCTGTCACTCTGGAGGAGAGCCAGGCCTATGTGGGACGCAGTCACCTGAAGAGCAGCAGCACCGCCTGGGGAAATGTCTGGAAATTGTTGTTTCTGTTGATCTGGTTGTTATCTCTCATGGCAACTTTTCCAAACATCTAAGTAGAGAGTTATCAGGGGGGAAAAAAAGATAGATTTTGTCATATAAAAACAAAAACGAAAAAACCCGCAAACTGCATAAACAGTATCAGTTTAGCAACCACCCCATGGGGCGTGCTCATGGTGCTTGGCACAGTGTTCATTCAACAGAGATGTGCTGGGCACTTTGCTGACCCCTGGGAACTTGGTGCTAAAGAGGCACATTCTCACTCATGGCACCCCTGCCCTGGAGGAGAGGTACAGGCAGAAGCAGACAGCGCCCTTCCTGCTGACCGCTGGATGGATGGCCCACCCAACACAGGCACGTAACAAGCTCACAGCCTGCACTGGGGCTAGAGCTAGAAAGGCTTCGGGGAGTGACATTCAGACCCAAACCCATCAGGTGACATGGAGAATGGAGAGTGTATTAGGCTAGGCAGAGGCTGTCCCACTTGCAAAGGAGCAGAGACAAACCCACCCTGGTGCGCCAGGAAATGGAGAATGTGCACACTCGGACAAAAGTGGGGGCCACAGAAAGGGAAGGGCCCTGAGGGGCCAGGGAAGTCTGTAAAGACTGTTCGAGGGGCTAAGAGAGGCAGAGTCCGATGCCTGGCAGAGGCTCTTGAGTGATTGTGGTGGTGTGGGCAATGCAGCCACAGGTCTCAGGACCGCGCGTGTCTTGTACACGCACACAAGGTCGTCAACGACACTTCAGGGCATACAGCACCACACGCTGCTGTGTGACAGAGCTTGGGTAGGTGAACTCTGGGTCCACCTCTCCCAGTAAAATTCCTGAAGACTTGCAAATGTTTCATGCCTTCCAAATTAAATATATATTATATATATGCATAACTATTCCTCTGTCTCAGGAATCCTCCACATCTTTCCTACTTACCCCTGAAAGATAGCAATGAAAGTGGCAGAGAGACCACCCAAGGAGGGCCGGTGCCAAGTGTTACCTCTACCTTGTTCTCCGCCTGGAGGCTCTGCCTCCACACCCCACACTCTCAGCTATTAACAACCCATCAATCCCTCTCCCCACACAAGGAGCTGCAGTTACTCCATTAAGAGGCCAAGGCCAGAGGGCCCGGTTCCATGTTTCCTTGCTACTGAGCAAGATGATCTCTCCAGTTCAGTTACAGTCATGCCTGGAAGAGTTGCTTCAAGTGAGACTCTCACTTGGTAATGATAAGCACGATTTTTCAAAACAAATAGACGTTATATGACTAAATATCTTTTTGGTAACTTCAGTGAAGAAAGGAAGACAAGCATAGCCTTTCTGCTGCTAAAATCAACTATGGGCCTCCTGAATCAGTTGACTCTTCTAAGACTCAGATCAGGTGTGGGCAGTGCCCCTAAATCCAGATTCCAACCTCTCCTTGCTCTTCCCAGCCTGACTCTTCCAGGCACAGTCTCTCTCCTGGGGAGCCACCGCTTTCCCTTCTCCATCTTTTTGCTTGGATTGCCTGATCTTGTCTTTCCCTTTCACCTGGCCAAGGTGTACTACACCACAGTTTTGGGGCTGACCAGCAAACGGGTCCCGAGGGAAAGGTGGTTGACGCTTACCTGCATGCCAATGACCGCGTAGATGAAGAACAGCATGGCTATGAGAAGGGCGACGTATGGGAGCGCCTGCAAGAGAGAAAGCATCATCTCGGCACTGGCCTCTGCCCCAAGACTGCTGGGGTGCAGCTGGGCCACAGCCTTCTGTTTTCCATGGGTTGTTGAAAGGACATCACTTGTGAGGAAGGGCTTCTTAAACCCTGGCCCAGAACAACCACTTTCACCCTTAAGGACACCAACCACAGGCACACCTCGTGTTCCCAAGCTGCAACCACAGTCACTGACACTTCTGTGTCCTACCCCTGACTCAGTCAATGCAGACACATCACTCTCATAATAACGCTTTACTCCTCATTGGATTCATTGAGAAATCATTGTAAGTGATGAAACCTTTCTAAAACACTGAATATTTAGATTGCTGCCATTTTTCTTCAGGAGGCATATTTAGGAAGGGGGAACATATTTAGGAAGTATTTCCTTAGAGCAAAGCCTGAGGAATGGGATTACTGGTCAGAAAGGAAGAGCCACTTTCTGGCTGGTGCTGTACAAAGCAAGTTACCCAAAAGAACCACAGAGCTGAGGGCTGTTATGGGAAGAAAAGGAGCTAGCTGGGTGGTCACTGAGGCTTAAAAACATCAAATACAACTATGTGTGTCTGGGCAGACCCCTTGTCCTTTAATGCAATGCTCTGCAACTGCTCTTGTACCTAATGACAAGTGACACAAGGTGTTCCTGTGCAAGACGCACCTCCAGGGAGTGTTCTGAGTGCAAACTTAATGCAAGCACGCACGCTTAAAGCAGCCTATCTAAGAAAGAGTGTCAGGAAGCCAGTGGTTGAAACACTTTCCAACTTGCGCCACCTCTGGATATGTGACTGCAAACTAGCCAGGCCCTGGGCAGCAGCTCCTTCCCGACAGCAGGACTGCCGAGTCCTCAGGATTAGTCATGCCTAGATGCATCTTCTCCCTACATTACTCGGTGTTTAAGATTTTTTTTCCCCACCCCCAGCTGGTTTTAGGATTTTGTTGGCACACTCTTAGTATTAAGGGCCACTACACTCTGAAATGAATTTCCTTCTCTCCCCTGGTTCAGATGAGGGAAAATATTTCCTGGTTAAGAGGAAAACTGTGCGTATGGCTTCTAGAAGATTTTCATTTTAAGCAGCTTTAGAGTGAAATATCTCATCTAGAAGCCTGGACCTTCTTTCTTCAGTCTGCTGTCATCTACATTCACCGAGCAGAACTTGTATTGATCATCGGGACCCCATCTGTTCCAGGGCTCAGGGTTATATTTTCTGTCCCTACTGACATCTGGATTGAACAAAGCCAGATGCATAACACACAGCACTGCCCCAGCCCCTCCGGCGCCAATACACACACACAGGGGGATCAAGCTGGGGTGCTGCGTGGCCTGGCTGAGGATCTGGTGGAGCATGCTTGCGGGAGAGGCCTCGGGGCAAGAAGGAGAGGAGAACAATTCTTAAATTCCCAGGACTAAATCTTTCCACCGGAGCTGCATGGACATCCCTGACATGAATTTCTTATTTACGGTGACCAAATCTTAAAAAAATATTTTTCTTTAGAAGTGAAGAAGAATAACATTATTGAGTAAACACATTCTATTTCTATAGCAGTTCATTCACATATTTTGGTCATTCACATTAACTACAACTCTCTAAGGTTTCACTCCTGACCAAGGGCAGTCTCAGCTCCCAAGGTCCGGCTCTGCCCCGCCTCTCTCCTGGCTGCACCCTCTTCCTCCTTCAGCCTCATTTTCCTCAGCGGGAGTGTGATTTCCCTTCTCTGAGTTTTCGTACTCTCTCCTGCCCCCAAATGCCGTCCGTCTAGTCTTCTCTTTACCTGTCAGCATCTTACCCACTGCAGAAAAATACTTCCTGACTATGAACACCAGCCAACCCTTGGAGGTGGGAGGGGCTAATTTGAGCTTTTTCATATATAGCTTCATTAGTTTATGGGTACATTTATTACTTTTGAATTTAATCAGATAATAAAGAAACAAAGATTAACTTTCTAATATCTATATCTCTAAATTCCCTATCTGTAGCCCCCCTTCCCAGTGGATTCAGTCCAGAAGACGAGAATACCTCATGTGGGACACTGGGAGGAGAAGCTGGCTTCTGTTCAGGAATAGACTAGAACCAGCCTGCACCATGCTAGAGAATCATAGATGACAAGCAAGACCTGGCTTATGCCTAAGCATCCTGAGCTCTGCAACCCCTCCAGGTACTGGACAACCCAGAGACAGGGGCTGGTGTGCTGGCCTGGGTATAGGGTTCTCACTTATTTTTAGGTTAGTGACAGGACTGTCACAGCCTTGGAGAAGCCATCTCGCTCCCAGGGCATCTGTAGAACCCTGACTCTCTCAGACATCTACCTTCACCCCTGGGCATCCTGGGGAGACCCCACGTCACTATCAGTCTGGAAATGCATCTCTCCCCACACCAGGTCCTTATTGCTTTTGTTTCCTTTAAACAAGTAACCCTATTTGATTTGCTGAGTTGAGGCTTTCCATACTTTCTATGCCCCTAGGAGGACACAGGGGTGATGCAGAAGGGACTCTGGATCCTCCACTACAGGGAGCAGTCACTGAGTTACATGTTATCTTCAAAGATAAACAGAAGTCACTGACATGGCTCTTACCTGAAAGGACTTAATGAAAGTCCACAGCAGTGTCCGGATGCCTTCCCCCCTGCTGAGTAGCTTCACCAATCGCATCACTCGGAAAAGACGGAAAAAGGTGATGGAGATTCTATTGCTTTCTTCAGAGTTCTGAAGGGTTATCATGGAGAGGTCAAACCCAATGGAAAGTAGAACATGCAATACTTTCAGAAAAAACAGCAACAGATGCAAACAAGGGTGACAGAGGTAAGAACCAAAGATGTGTTTCTAGGGCCTTTTCACCTTAAAAAGCATGATATGAAAGGAAAAGTTACATGCTAACAACACAGGACTTGGAAAACTGGGTCCACACAGCACATGCATGTTCACATGGTCTAGTGTGTTAAAAGGAGAACGTTGGGCTGGTCAAGAGTACTGGACACTGATGATGAATGCAAACCACTGCAGACACTTCTGGAAGGACAATCATGGAGAATACAGAAAAACTAGCGGAAGACTTGACATGGTCAAATAAACTCAAGGAAAAGGCCCAGCCCCTGGGGACTAGTCACTGATCTTACCCCAGGTGTAGCAGTTGGGACAGGGACATTCTCACTTTCAGTTGGCTTTAAGAAATCAAAGATGGAAAATGCATTAATCAACTGGGAAGGAAGAAGCGGATTCTAGAGGACATCTCCCCCTTCTGACAAATCCCTGGTTAATTTGTTTTAGGATAACACATCTGCTCCCTCCCTGAAAATGTGCCAGGGACACTGTCAGAACTGGACTTGAGGGCAAGCAGCCCTCACACAGGCTCAGACACTACTTTCTAATTCATATTGCAGGATATGTCGTTGCAAGTCCAACACGCATCCAGCAAGAGATAATGCTGCAAGGCCTCAGCTGTCCCTAGAGACAGAAATGCAGAGTGGGGCCCTGCTTCTCATGGGGAGATTGGTTCTCTTTGCTGAGTCACATTGGAGAGGTGGGGAGTCCTGGGAGTCTCAGGAACTAACTGCTCTGTAGTGGGCTACTCTTGTTCCCAAGGAACAGAATGACTAATAAGTGGAGCTAACAGACCTGGGCCGTACCCCCAGGCAGCATGTGTCTGATGATGCCCCCTCTGGAGAGCTTGCCAGCAGCTAGACAGACCAAGCCAGTGTGAGTGGAGACAGGCTGGTTTCCTTACAGAAGCCTGCTCTGCCCAACCTATGGCTCAGACTGTTTTCAGGGAAGGGAAAACTCAGCTGTGTGTGACTCCTGAGTCCCTGAGCCCCTGCTGGGCACAAAATCACAGGCCTTGAGGCCCTGTGCATGCCTGCCTCTCCCCTCAGGCTTTGAGTCCCCAGTCCCCAGCGTGGACTCTGGCTCTTAGATATTCAGTAAGTGTTTACAAGAATGCAAAGAGGTTATAGGCAAACTCTAGCAATATCAGCAGGCTGAACAGCAGTGGGGAAATGACAGCTTCTCTCTGTCCTTGAGTAATGTCACCTCCACTGAAGCAGCTGATCTACCTGGTATCTGACAAAGAAACGCGGATCATCTGGAGAGACCCAGAGTTGCTGAGTGCACCTGAGGCTTTCAGGGAGGCTTTCTGCATGGTGTCTGTACAGCTGTGGAGCCCTCATCTGAGGGCTCACTCTCAATGGCTGCCTCCTGAGAGCGAACATGAAATTCATAGACATCGAGAGTCTGGCATATTATATCACAATGAATTTCAGCAAAGTGACCAGGAACTTAGGAACTTAGGACTAACAGCTTCTGACAGGGTTTTAAATCCTGGTTCATGCAGGATGCTCAGAACACAAACATGGCAATGTGTCTGTCAAAACCCCAAGTCATTATTTTTATTTTTCTCTTCTATTAGCTCACTTCAAAATGATTAACATCTCCTTAAAGAAGCAGGTGATTTTTTTTTTTTTAACTCAAAGCTTTAACAAATGAAGGAATTGGTTTCCCAAAGTTCTCACTGTCTCACATATCATCTCCCTGAGGCTGTGTGGAGGGCGGGGGTGGCTGGGGCGGGGAGGGTGCGTGTGCCTCTGCTTGTCTGTGCTCAAGGGAACCAGGCCATGCAGAAGACAGAGCAGAGCACTCTATGATCACACATTTGAAATTTCCATACCCTGCGTGTGGAATCTGCAAGAGAACAAGGAGGCCTGCGGTTGGGGAAGACACTCTTCCTGGCCAGTGTGGCCCTACTTCAGGCCTCTGCTCCCTACCTTGGGGCCTGTCTGACAGATCCTCCATCATCCACTCCCTTATGAGGTGGGGGCATTAGCAGACAAACTGACTTTTGAAATACACATCTTTTTCAACTGATAACTTTGAAGTATGGCAAGTGTTGGACTAGGGACTTGAAACCATGGATATTCTTTTGTCTAAATAAACAAAGAGGAGGAGGAAGAGACAGCATTTGTGGAGGGGGAGGCAGCACAACATGCAGGAAAGGGAAGAACAAACAGCACACTGAGGGGCATGCGGCCCAGGGCAGCCTGAAACACCTTCCCTTTCCCGCAGACGCCTCCCTGGGCAGGGGGTCAGTTGTAGGGGAGGGTGTTGCTGGTAGTGTTGGGGGACAGAGCAAGTTGCCAAAATATTTTCCAAATTGGAAGAACCCTGAGGATGGCTGTGTCCAAACTACAACTGGCATCTTGATGAAAAGGGTGGGTTCACGCTTACCCGAGGCTGCAAGTTAGAACTGCCAGGGATCTCTAACAAATGGATGAGTTGTATATAATTGTTTTGGGGTTTGCTTGAGTTTTGGGAGCAATCCTAAACCAGGTGAAGCTGGGTCGAGTCTTCATCTGGTCACCCACACCAACTAACTCCCTCTGGGTCTGGACTGCCACACAGAGTGGGACTACTGGAAAAGCCCACTCAGGCTGCTACACCTGAGCAGGGGGTTCTTGTGGAGTAATGAGGGTTCAGTGCCCACGAGATCAGGTGCCATCCCCATCTTCCTTACGAGGGATGGAGGAAGCATGGAAATAGAGCGAGCTGGCAGGGGGTGGAAATGGGCCAATGTGGACATGAGACTGGGGAGACTCACTCCCCAGGTTGCTATATAAAGACAGCCTCCAGGGCTACATGATGAGTTTTTTAAGACAGGAGGTTCCAGAGTCAGCCAGCTCATGGCTGGGACTTGCTGACCCCAGCAACTCCTTCCAACCCTAAGACACCATGTTTTTTAGCTGAGAACCCTTTGGGGGTTTCAGCAGGCCAAATTGTACGTCAGGGTTTGGAAATCTCCTCAGATCCCCAGGGCTCACCTGATAGTCCCTCCAGCCCCTTCCCACAGGCTCTCAGCAGGCTCTTGAGACAGAGGCTTTGGGCCCCCTGAACCCACAGGAGCCACACCAGCGTTGAGTTTCCCAAGTACAACCCAAGGGGTCAGCCCACACCTTCTGCATTAATTCCTTTCTTTTCAATAATAACGGGAAAGACTAAATGTCAGGAACAGCCATTCCCTGGGTTAGGGGAATGATGCTGGGTCATTTCACCATTCAAGGAATAAGCAGGCATCAAAGAGGGAGCAAAAGTGAGCCTGCCAGTCATTACCTGACATTTCAGCAGCCTGGTGATGTTATGACCAAATGCAATAAGGACAAATGCATGAGAAGTATCGAGCCATAGCCAGAAGAGGGAGGGGGGTGGGGGCGGGGCGGGGCCGCTGGAGGAGGGGCTGGGTGAGCATGCAAGCAGGACGATGGAAAGGGCCATCCAAAATGTTTTCGCAAAGAATACAAATGCAAGCTCCATTTCTCATTTTCAGGCCAGATGATTCATTCTTGAAGATTATGTTGGCAAGTCACAGAGCCAAGCGTAACGGACCCAGACAGGCCCAGCTCAGGCCCCAGGCTGCAGATAATGAAGCATGGGACAGGAAACAATTTAGATGACCATAACCAATGGCACATCCTGTGAAACTCAGTGAAAACCAAAGGTGGGGAAGCCAAAAACAGTAAGTCTTTAAAGTGCTTTTGCTTTAACAACGACTTCACCGTATATATGTTTATATATACTTGCCGCTACAATTTTCTAAAAATAAAACCAACATGAAAATCAATTAGGTAACAGAAAAGAAAGAGCAACAGAGGTTGGGGGAGAGAGCACAGCAAGTTGCAAAAAGGATGACGTGGCAGCAAAAAACAGGCAACAACAGACCAAGAGTGTTCATGCTCAGCTGACCCGGGAGCTTAGGGACAAGACACCAGGGACAGGACAGACACTGCTTCCCCAGGAGCCAGGAGTGTGGGGGAGAGGAGTGTGGGAACAGCTCCACGCAGGTAGTTTTACCATTCGAGAATAAAGACACCCAGCCTCTCTGCCCCCCAGAGCTCAGCCCCCAGCCTGTGAATTGTAAACGCCCGATAAATTTGGGGAGAAGGATTGAGTGAATGAGAAGGTGGCTTTGAGCATTCTCTCTGCAAGGGGCCCAGCAGAGACACTGAGCTCTCCCAGGTGGCAGGTGTCCCGCTGGTCCTGGACAGGGAACCGGCACTGCCATCCACTGAGCGACTCTGGTCTCAGGCTACATTTGACCAAGGGAAGGGACAGGAATGTCTGTCAGTATGATTTGGAGTCGAAGCACCAGGTGTCAACCCGGTGAAAACTGGTTTTGTACAGACACCCAATGTCAAATGCTAACTAGAAATTTAGAGTGGGCGTGGCAGCCCTGTGGATTTCCTGACTAATGGAAGGTCCAGAAGGACAAGACTGGGGAGCAAGGGGCAGGCCCAGTGGGCCTCTGCTCCCAGCACATGGTGAGGAAGTCAGGGTGTGCTGTTGCTGTGGGCACTGGAGCCATGAGCCGCCAGCCAGCAGGTGGTCAGGCATTTAGAGAGCTAGATGTTCATTTGGTGATAAACCTTGTCACATCCTGGTACCCAGAAACCACACACCCCACCTGCTCCCTGCACAAGACCTAAGCCCCAGAGCTCCAGGGAGTGCTGCTGAAGTTGAAGCGTACTTTATTTTCACGTCCACTCTCATGGACATCCCAAGATAACTCTAATGTCACATCCACCTTGGACACCCATGAGGCTCCATTACAGAATCTTTACACATCAGTTTACTTTGATGTTGGCTGCAGCTGCTTTGCACTGTGAGATTATTAAGCAGGTAGATGTCTGGTCATGAACTCAAGAGAGCCCCTGGCAGCTCAGGTGGGGTCCTGCTCTTCTCCTATTAGCATCAGATCATTTTATAAGCATGACTTACACATTATGAATGGAAATTTTATAGCTGACTTATGGAGAGGCGGGGGAAGTATGTCCCCAAGTCTAGTAATAATACCATTTAAATACCTTGTCATGGCATGGATTTGGGTGTTATGAGGCTTAAATCACATTTTCATGGACATTGTAACATATTATGAGTCCTTCTCATTATTATGTGGAAAATTGACATAATAATGTCCTTATATCTTGTGAATAACTTGGGCATTTTAGCAAAAATTTCCCAAAAAGCAGGGTAAATTTTCATCCATGAAAGTACTGAGGCCTGGGCCCAAGTTCCTTCTGAACTACAACTAGAACTGGTAAGTGTGGGCTTGTGAGGCTGGTGGCTGGCTCCCATTTTGCATTTCAGAATTAACCCAGCCCCCGAACTGTGGCATAGAGGATTTTCACTGTCCTTATCTGACACAGGCTGTCCGGACACCAGGATGGACCATACAATCCCACAGGTGTCAGCCAGGCAGAGCGCAGTGGCCCCTTCCCCACCGGCCTTGGGGAGGGCAGCTCACTGGCAATGTGGAGCAGAAAGCCAGCCCTGCACAACAGTCCCCCCCCCCCCCCCCAACCCTGCACTTCACTGGCCCCCATGAAGGCTCCACACAGCCCAAGCGCATACCAGATACCCTCTTAGACTCGCTGATGAACTAGAGACAGACCAGTGGGCAGGGCTACTTCTGCCTGCCTCAGACCCCTCCAGCATAGGCAAGGGTCAGGTCCATGAGCAGTCAACGAGAGAGGGTGCTCCCCCTTCTCAAGCCTCTTCATTTTAAAGAGAGGGTCTCAGGAGGTTTCCTGGAGGGGGGAGTTGTTCACCTATTACGCTGCTACTGAACTTGGTCCCCCATCAAATGATTCAACTGAGTACAACCCTGGACACTGACACACCCTTCCTGATATACAGTAGGTCCTCCTTCCCCAGGCCCAGGGCAGCCATCAGTCTGATTCGCCATCTGGGGAGCTGGGGTGTCACCAGTTGGATTCAGCAGATACCAGAAGCTGTGGCCACATGCTCCAGGTATGGCTGAGGGGTTTCCCTCCTGCGCCTTCATAGAACCACGGTGGGTACACCAAGACACACTTAATGAACTACGGCTGACATTGGAGAAACTGAGGCACACAGCTGGCAGGTGACCAGCTGAGGTCAGCAATTAACTCCTCACCCTTAACTCCTTTCACAGGACCTTCTTTTAAAATAATGTTTTACGTCCCGAATGGCAATTCTCCATCTACTTCCCCGTTCTCTTTCAGGGGGTGGTGGTGAGGTGAGGGAGGGGATGCCACAAAATGTTTTCAGTCATTCAAAAGCAAAGTGTAAAGTGCAGAGAGACCCGTGAGGAGGCCCTCTCACCTCCTCTATGCTAAACTTAAAAAACAATCACGTCATAGGACACGAAGTTTGCTACTTACATTCACTTCAGTTATAGCAATATCAACGACGCTACCAACAACAATTAAGGCATCAAAAGTGTTCCATGCATCAGTGAAATAGTGCTGTTAGGGCAAGCATTCAGAAGCCACAGAGGAGAGGAGGCACAACAGGAAAAAAGAAGAAAAGGACAGTATTATAAAAAGGGAACATTCTGGCACAATGCCACCTGGCTACTTGAAAAATTTCCCTAAAACAAACATGTTATAAACACGTCACTTTGGGTATCACTTCTGACACAGCCAAATAAAAACAATTAGCGACATCTACCTTCCCTGCCTACTGGAGACCTGGGCGGTGCTGCAAAATCGTCCTCCCAGAGGCAACCTGTGTCTCAAAAAGGCCTGAGATAGGCTCGCCCCTAGAAGGCCTTTTTTCCCCACAGCTCTCGCTAGGAAATTCCTGGTTTTAAATTATGTGAAATTGGGATCTGTGACTTGTCCAGGTGATGCCAGCGTGGGGCAGGGAGTGGAACGTGCACAGACAGAGCGAGGACAAGAGGCAGCGGCCACACCGGGCACATACTCACGTCTGCTTCGCTGAGAGCCACGTCTATAATGCTGCCGATTACGATGAGGGAGTCAAATGTGTTCCAGGCGTCGCTAAAATACCCCTGGACAGAGCAGGCAGGGGGGCAGATGTTTACGAGCAGGTAGGAATGCGATGCCACGCGGACCACAGGGGCACACGTCTGAGGCCCTGCAGCCCCCATGGCGACCAGACGGGATGGGAAGCCCACAGGGAGGCAAATACTGTCCACTGGTGGAAAGGGACACAGAGGGGGAGTGTGCACCTGCATGTTAGAGAACGCGGGCGCACACGTGGGCAGACACATGCACGCACGCGCGCACACATACACGCACACACGCACGCACGCACGCACACACACACCACACACATGCACACACACAAAGCTGACCAGGGGCCTTGAGCAGCACCGAGCCAAGCAGTAGATCTGCAGGACAGAGAGAGGCATGTAGCAACCCTGCCCTGGCACTTGGGGTGAGAACCCCAAACCCCACAGAAAGGATTTGTTACCCTCACATGGAAGAGTAAGGCTCTCCCACTCCTTTCATGTTAAGGATACTGAGGGGTCCCAATTACCCCACTTCCTTTTCTTCTCCCACTGAAAAGAGCACTGTGACCAGGTGTTTTAACATTCTTGTTCTTGTTTCTGTTCTCATTTCTGAAGGCAAACTAGTAACCCTTCACTGTCCTCACAAGTCCAACAAGAATTACGACGAGGATCCTCTGTAGCTAGAGCTCTTGGTCCAACAGGGATGCAGATGTGTGGGCGGACAGGCACAGAGCTGCACACAGGCCCAAGGCACAGTGTGTGCCAGAGAACCTCACATTTGACTGTGGGGATGGGGGTTCTGCAAGACCACAGGCAGGTCTTGCAGAGGAAGGATAAATGGGTTCATGGAGAGATACCTCCAATCACCAACAGCTTCCTCCACCCCCTCAGCTCTTATTCTCTACACCATCCAGGCTAAGAATGCTTGCCATCTCTTAAAACACCGCCAGCTTCTTCCCCACCTCTGATGTCTCTGCCATCTGAACTTCCCCCCATTCACTTCCAAACTGTATCTGCCCAGTTCCACTTCCTCCTTCCAGATCACATCAACACCAGTCCCTTGATAGAATCTTTTCAATTCCTGATTTTCACCCCAAACCTGTTGACTCTGCATCTCTCGCATGCCTTAGTCATTGAATTTGGGTCTTTGTCAGCAGGTTGACCACAATGAAAGCCCTTTGAGAATGAGGACTGTGAGGATTATTCTGTCCCCAAGTCCACTAAACCCAACATCCACTCAGAGCCTGGAACCGAGTTAGAGCTCTACTCCTTACAATGTCTGTCTTCTGCCAACTTGCAACCCACTGGTCACTTGACTTTACCCAGTTCTTGTTTTTTTCGTCACATCTTGTGATGACTCTGAAAGCATAACATCCCTATGACTGTGACTCATAAATCTACATGTATGTGACAGACAGTCCACATCCTCTTCTGGGCTGGGATAGCAGGTGCCTCCTGTTTTCTGACACCCCTGGGAAGCCCAAGATCTGAGGGGAAGAAGAGACACTATGCACAGAAGCTTCTAGTTGTAAAGTCAACGACTTTAGATCAACTATCTTTTCAAAGAGTTGGAACATGTTTTGGGAGTAAAACAGTCAGGTCTGGCTTATATAAAAAGAAGCCCCGTGTGCTTACAACTGGGATCAAGAACAGAAGGTACAGTGAAGTGTCAGGTACCATGAACTTGAGATCAAATATCCACTAGAGGAAGCCATACACAGCCCCAGTCTTTTATGACACTATAAGCCAACCACACACAATAACTGCAGCAGGTTGGCTATCCTGGTGACTGGAGTAGGGATGGTTATTCTAGCTGCTGTTAATCACTCTAGATTTACAAGGGAGCTACGACACTGACTGATGGTTTGGATTTAAAACAGTTTTATCTTAAGTAACGATCCAACTAAATCATTCTGGCCCACTGTGGTGTATCAAATCACCTTCAATCAACATGACAGGGGCTTGATATTTGGGGTCCTGAAACTTTTTTTTGGGCAGTTTTGACAATTTTCTCTTTAGAAGATCCCTCACATTCACAACATTCTATGAAAATCCTAGCATGTTCACAAAGTCAAGGCTGACATCCCTAATCTGGGGGAGAGGAAGTTTCAGCTGGTGCAGGTGGCTAGAATCACAGGCTCTGACCAGGAGGCTTTGCTGGGAGGCTAGGGGAGGCAGAAAATGCCAGCCCTCCCTTTCTTCCCACATACCATTTCCCTGTTTAGTAGCCTTCTGTGTAATAAAATCACTGTTAAGGGAGCATGACTCAGTCCCCCGCCCCTTCCTCACCAAAGTCACCACAGCATCTGGGAAGCCAGATGAGACATGGGCTTCTAACAGAAGGCCCATCTCTACACTCTCTCCTCTTATCCAAGCATGACATGTTCTGCTGTAGCTGAATTCTGAGGACAGGGCCCCGCAGGTGGAACCACTGATAGGATCCCTATCAGTCCAGCCAGCATCATCCTTTGCAGTAATTTTTGTCCATGCCCACCTGCTTAACAAACCCATATAAGCCCGCCATGCACAATAACATCTATTACTTGTTAATATTTCTGACCTCAGAAATTAAAATCACAAACCAGACTAATGTGGGCCCAGGGCCAGGAAGCTCCAATATTTCTAAGAAATCTATTCTGATTGCAAATGCCTGTGTCCTGCCTAACCACGGGCTCCTGGAAGTAGAGCATGGACTCTAGTCAGGAGAGAGGATGGGGTGGCACACAGGGTGTGTGTGTGTACCTACAGTGTTTGTGGAATGACTTCCAAAGGGAAATTAAGAAAAGCACTTCTGGTCTAGGTTCCTTTTGCTGCCTGGAACCTGTCTCCTCAGCAGACCAAAAGCAGCCCATTCAGACGATTTGCCTTTTGCTGTCTGCCATGTAGCCAGATGACTTACTAATGTCTTCCAGGGACTATTTGGACAGTATTTGACCCAAATTATGACCCATGCTGCCAACTTCAGGTGGAACTGGAACGACAGCTTTCTAACTAGCTCATGTCTTTCCAAACATCAAGTGGGATCTTCAAGGAAAGCAAAAGCCCTTTGAACATGCTGCTCTGCCCCAATAACCTGTGATTATGCCAAGAGTCTGCAACTACAGGCTTATCCATTCACTCTCTTCTTCACTTCACAATTCTTTACCAAGTAAGAAGCATGTAGCAGACGTTGTGTGAGATAATGAAGACCCAGCTCAGTGGTAATGGAAAGAAATGTGGGGTAGTTCTGATGATAATGCACAGTAAACACCTCACCAACCCCACTGTGAAGGCAAGAGCTGGCCCTGGCTGGCTTGGTGTGAACAGTGTCACAGAGGAGCCCTTACATGACAAAAAGATAGAAGGACTTTCCCACAGGAGTATGTGGTATGGGAAGACGTAGCCCGTTAACAGTCGGGTCCAGGGTAGGGAAGAGGAATGGAGCTAGCAAGGGGATGAAGATGAGGTGGAGATGTAAGTGGGTTGGTGTTTGGTGGAAGACTTTGAATATGACAGTAAGAGGAAGCTAACTTTTTCTCAGGTAACATGTGGCTGGCACCAGAATTTCATTAAAAGAGTGGCCTGGTGCACTCTGGGCTTTTAAAGAGAATTCGGGGAAGATGACTGGACAGGGACTGAGGTCAGATGCAGGGAGATGACTGAGCAGTCACAGTAACTCAGAAGAGGGGCCAGCAGCAGAAGTATGGGTGAGATGGAGGCGGCCACCTAGGACCTGGACATGCACACATTTGACTAGTTGAGAAGGGAAACTGGAAAGTGCTCAGGGAAATACTGTTGTTGAAGGGACAGGCTGAGTCCAGGAAGGAGTCTGACACAAAGTTTTAGCTGACGAGAATTTCTGGTCTCAAGTATTATTCAGTATTAAAAAAAAAAAATCACCTAAAATACATACGTGCTCTCTGGAGAACTGAAAAAATCAGTATCATGTTTTCTTTTTAAGAGGCAGAGAACACCTTCTAGGAAGACTTCTGGGCCCTTATCAAGAAGCCTGCCGGGGACCCTGGCATGGGGAAGGCCATCATGGGAGGTTAGTGGACAGATGGCCAGGGTCCACTGCACATCTGCTTGCACAGGAGCATGAGGGCACCACGTCAAAACACTTTCTTCTTTCCCCAAATCCAACCACTCTACTTTTCCAAGCTCAAGTGGCTGGGGGTGTAAGCTAGACATTTGTTGAGAAAGAACCAAAATCAAAATGGTTTATGGTCTAAGACTCGGTAATAAAGAGTCTCGCTGGTGAAAAACTTACACTTGAGGCAGGTAACCTGGCCCTGAATATGTGCTGGACAAAACACGGGATGGATGACATCTGGGAGCACCAGGGGGGACCACAAACAAACCAGAGGTGTTTGTTATGCCTCTAGGAGCCGGTACTGTGGAAAAGACCTTTCCTCCTCAGTCCCCCTCGCTGGAGCAAGAAAATCCACTGGAGGGAAGGGCCAGGGAGACAGGGCCTGTTCTTACCAAAGTCTGGTCTACCTAACGAAACCCTAACACAGCCAACTCCATGTCAAAAGCAGAGCGTGCTTGAAGTTAATGGCCAACAGATGGACTTACCCTGATACCAGTAAGCTAAAAGGCTGTTTGCTTAACCCTGATACTTTTTGTTAACTTATGTTTATTGACGTAACATCAATTTACAGCTTTCCCCCAGTTTGCTCTTCGGTCCTCACCACCTTCCACTCTTACCCAACCAATGTGCAAAAACAGCTCTTCCCACTGAGACTGTGGCCCTGCCCGGGAAGCTTCTGGCCCTGGATTTCCTCCTCCTGTCCCACACGTCATCCCTTCCTGCTTATAAAGGCTGGATGAGCCCACCTCACAGGTCCCTCAACACTGGCCTCTAAATGTGCTTCCTCTTGGCTGTCCCATTCTTCAATCACACTCCTGACTACAAATAGGTCCCAAGGGTGAGGTTTCTCCATGTGCTTTAACCCTGCCTCCCGCAATGCCCTCTCACCCACTGGGAAGGATCTGGGGGGACTTCACTTTCCGTATCCATATCGCGAACCATGACCTCTTCTCTCCTAATGGCAGGACCAGTACTCCTAGGTGTGCCCCATCCCAGGAGGGCCTCCTCAAACCCTCGGGCTCCTGAAGCAGTCCTTGATGACTTCCCATGGGCAGCCCTCTCTGCAAGATTTCCCAGCCTGAATGCCTCTCTGGCTGGGAAGGAGGGGCCTCCCTGGCATCTGGGGGAGTGCTCACTGGCCTGGCATTGGGTTGTTAACAAAGAAGAGACAATAAAAGGAGCATTTTTAAGGAGCACTGTGCTTCTTGGTGAATTGACTCCTGCCCCTCAGGCACACACATGCCATCCATCTCCCTGGCTTCCGAGACCGCAGCGTGACTGTGCTCCTGGAGTGTAGGAACGCTGCTGTTAGCGCTGATTTACAAGCTTCTCTCAATTGTCACCTAAGGTTGTCTTAGGCTATGAAATTATCTTGCTGAGTAAAACTACAGAGCAGCATAACTTCTAGCGGAAATCACTCATTTTAAATCTGATCGATCAGTACTGATTATAACTGCTCACTCACTTCCCCTGGCTACCACCAATGTCCTCACACGCCACTGAACTCTCCGTCCCAGTTTGGTAGCAGCAGTTCACTGGGCAGAGCAGTGCACTGCCAGCCATGGATGCAAAGAAGACCTGCTAGAGGGTGAGATAGTACACATGTGCACCCACACGGCACACTCACATGCACGCGCACACATACATACACGCATGCCAGGGATGAGTGTGTTTCTTCTCTTCAGCTCAGAACAAGCTTTCAGAAATTTCAGAGCTTAATCACCAGGCAAGGGAAGACACAGCCAGGGGACCTGGCAAATGTCCCACAGGCAGGTTCCACGTCGCATTTCTCAAGCACTTTTGATGTGCTTACTTTGCGACCATTTCCATCAGTTCAGACAAATATTGTACAAGGTAGTAAAGAGGACAGGGAAGCAAACAAAAAATCTCAAAGGAAATGGAGATGAATTGGGAAAAGGAGGGAATGTTTATGTATGTAGATATGGACAAGTCACAGTAAATAACATCTGGCCATGCAGAAAGTGCCAAATTTGACCCCACTGCAATCACCCCAATTGCTCACTTACAAGTGTCCTTTCTTTTTGGTCCACAAAGATCTGATAAAGATTGCATAGAAATTATTTAAAATTAAAGAAAGGAACAGTTTTGAATTAGAATTCCAAGTAAGAATGGACTAGGTGAAACCACCATTTCATAATCCGAGTCTTGCTTAAATTATGTTATCAGCTACCTTATACACAGATGAACAAGTAATCAGGTCACTGAATGCTATCATTCTCTAACTCTTGTCTTTTAGGGTTTGCCAGAAGAGAATCTGAGGCTCAAATGCCCCACTGCTCAGCCAGTATTTGCTTTGTGTCTGTGGTTTTAACACAGGTGACACCGCTGCTTAGGGATGGTGGAGGTGACAGCAACGATAGTGATATGTCTCCAGCACAGTGCCAGGTGCCAGGGATGCTTCAGGCCATGGCACATAGAGTGGACTTTACTCATCTTAACCACCAAAAAAAAAATAGGACCATTTGTGCCCTCATTTTATGGATGAAGAGACTGAGGCACAAAGAGGTAAAGTAACTTGCTGAGCTAGCAAGTAGACAGTAGGGGTTCGAATCCAGCCTGGCTCAGAACTATGTGTGCTGTGAAGAGCACGCATAGAATAGGAAGCTATTCTATAAACAGAAAATCAGTTTCCAAATCATCTCCATTCTACACATTCCAATTCTCTCCTCCCTTCTTTTTTTCAGAATTGTTTTTACGAGGTTTTATTTTTGCAGATTGATTCTCCCATATGTATACAGATGTCCTAATCAGATTTTTAACTGTGCTACTCATCTCTTCTACTGGCATTTATATAGCTGGATTCACCTCTCCCCAGAGACATCATCTGCTGAGTGGTCCAGCTGAGTGGAACAATTTTCCTGTCTTGTTCTAATGTTTTGTCTTAAAATCAGTGAAATTTTTCTAATTTAAACCAACAAAAGGTCTACAGCCAGTTGATCTTTCCACAAAAGGTGAAAAGGCTGCTGCAGACCAAGAACAGAATAAACCAAAATCTTGAGGCTGAAAGTCTCAAAGTAAAGTCAGGGTTAATTCTTCCCATGGGCTAAGACAATTTCTCTAATGTTTGAGCAATTTCTCTAATGAGGCACATTTTCTTGAGAAAGCTATTCTATAAACAGAAAATCAATTTTCAAATAATCTCCATTCTACACATTCCAATTCTCTCCTCCCTCCTTTTTCTCAGAATTGTTCTTCTGAGGTTTTGTTTTTGCAGACTGATTCTCCCATATGTATTACAGATGTCCTAATCAGATTTTAATGTTCTCAGGTGATAACCCAGTTAGAGGCCAAAACAATGCAGCATAACTCAGTAACACAAGACCAACAGGAAGCAATGCTTCTCTGGGGTGATTCAGCAACACTTTGCAAAGCGGGTTCAGCAACTCACCTTAGGTTTAAAAGCAATGACCTTCAAGACCATCTCGACAGTGAACACCCCAGTGAAGACCATGTTCAGAATGTCCATGGCATCATTAAACATCTTGGACTGCTCATAGTGCTGTGGATGAAGACGGAGGCACAGTTCTCAGAGACCATCCTAGACTCATTCAAGGAGGCTCGCTGACCTCTGCTCCCCACAGACACCGCTTGGACATGGAGGCATCCCACAGTCCAGGACCCTCACCCAACCGTCCCACTGGCACTGCCAGATCACACAGTTAGCTCCCCAACAAAGCACAGAGGGGTCTGGACAAGATGAGGATGACTGGATGATGAAGGGGAAGACATCGGTTTCCTCTGCTCAGGATAAAGGGAGAACACCCTTTCTTCTGGCAGGGCTGACATTTAGGGCCTTGGCCCATACACAATACAGATTCTATCCCAATGTCTATGAATAAAGGCTAAGATTTGGTGAAGGGCAGATTCTATACCATTTCGGTCTGAGTTTCATAAAAGGCGGTGTTCTCTCAACTGCCCGCCTTTCTGTACATCAGTACACGGTCCTTCTCATTCCACAAAGAATTCTTAATCCATAAAGAATTCTTAAATTTAAGAAAAGTGCTGGAAAATGTGTCCCTGACTACCTCTACACCCATTTTCCAGCAGTACAGGGAGCTGGTTTGATCTGCTCAAGTTCTTCAGCAGCGTGAAAACCCGAGCTAGACCGTGGTCTTCGCCTCCTGTACTAGCGCAGCGTCCACCTGAAGATAAGCTTCCAGGAATTTCAGTGTGAATACCACCTGCAATCATCCAGCTCGTCCCAGGAAAGTGAGGTGCATTCCTTGCCCCCCATGTGAGCAGGAGGTAGCTGTAGTCAAACTCCCAACTTCATGGACTGAAGATGGCCCGTTGCCAGACCCAGAGCTCCTGAGGACAGGAATGTGTCTTGCATTTTGTTTTTCAACATGGGTGTTTACTCCGTGACAGGCCCGGAGCAAAGTGCCTGACTCAAATTATCCAGCAAATCATCTGCCTTATCACTGAGTTCAGTAGGGTAGATTCCCCATTTTAAAGCGAGCAAGGCTCAGGGGCACCCAGTGAGTAAGGAGGGAAAGTCAGGATTGAGCCGTTTAACTCAGAAAGAGCTTCAGTCCTCAAACCATGCCCTGGCCACAGGAGGCCATGCTAAAGGTTTACAAAATTGAATGCCATGTTCGGGCTACATGGAAATGTCACCTGCCATTATGCTGTACAGTCACCCTCTAGATAAACAAAGGAACCACTTTTCCTCTTGAGCTCCGACTGTGTGCTATGTGACAACTGTCAGCCAGAATGGAACTCTGGCCAAACTATAAGCCAGACTTATCAGAAAATCAAACCCATCCTCTTGTGAGGGGGCGACTTTTGACCCTCAGAATTTAAGGCATGGGGCTGTGCAGAAGTCCCAGACGTGATCCCCACAGCTGTCTCCATTTTTACCTGCATGGCCAAGCAGAGTGTGTTGAGCATGATGAGGACAAACATCATGTATTCGAAAGGCGAGGAGTTCACCACGTACCAGAACTTGTACTGGTAGGGGTTTTTGGGGATGTATCTCCGCAAGGGACGTGCTTTCAAGGCGTATTCAACACACTGACGCTGCAACGGCAGAAAAGAGCAATGAAGGGGTCCCGAACACGTCCAGGAGAGAAGAGCACAGTTCTTGTCTGCTCTGAAGGAGCGATGCACACCTACTAGGAGGAACCAGGCAGGATTGGGGAAACCACAGCAAACCCATGGGCAACCCTCTGAGTTGCTGACAAAGGGCCCCCACCTCCACTGCCTCATCTGATTCTCATAGCAGCCTTGTGGGTAAGCAGGACACCTGGTCTTATTCCATTCTACTTATTAAAAAGCTGAGTCCAGGGCGTGGGACTTCCTTGCCTGAGGCCCCGCAGAGCACAGCAGGGGAGGGCTATGAGGCTGGGACTCAGGCCACCCCTTCCCCTCTTCCACGCCTCTGGCTTATGTCTGTGGTTCTCCTGCCTGTGGTCTCCTCCAGGAGAGGAAGTCAAGTAAGGGGGGTGCAGAAATCCTCAGGAACCAGAGGGGCTGGGTTTACTCTAAGACTCAAGACCCTTAGCTGCCCAGGAAGGAACCTCTTAGGAGCTATAAGCATCTGATGGTGAGCTAGCTACGAGCCTCTGAGGTTTGGAGACTCGTGTTTGTTTCAGAAGCTCAGGACCTGGTCAGTAATGATTTTCTAGCAAACCTCAAACTAAAATGCTGGCTGGAGTGAACCCGGCTGGGACCTAGTCAGAGCACTGTCCTCACTCGCTACAGAGCTGAGATGGGTCCAGCCTTTGCTGGAAGCCCAGAGGAAGCCTCCAGGCCTGAGAGCCTCTGGTTCAACATCAAGGCCTGTCCTGCTCCGAGGCTCTTTACCTTCCCCTGAACTTCCGCTTTGACTCTGGCTTCTGACTTCAGACACCTCCCTGTGTCCAGAACACAGCCCCACTGTGCCCTCACATGCTCACACAATGACCCCCAATTCGAGCCTGTTCTGGACCTCACACAGTGACATGATTTCAGCTCTGGCACTGCCTGCGCCTTGCCCTGGCACTCTTCTTCCTTGGGAAGGTGTCTGTCACTGGTGGAATCTGCAGCATTGAAAGGAACTCAGACCATCTTTCTGCAAACAAATCTCCAGTGGCACAAGTGAAGCCTGGCACAGACCTGCTCACCACGCCAGGGCCACTTCCCCCCAGGAAGCTCAGGCTGACAGATGATTCTTGCTCACTATGTCTTCATCAACAGAGATGCTACTGATAGAGGACCTGAGGGCAACTCTCAGAATAGAATCTCAATCTCACGGACAATCTTTTATGGCTGAGAGAAACCTCTAAAAGCAACTTCTTAATGCCCTCAATTTTGTGATAAGGGAGCAGTCACAGAGCAAGTGCAGGCAGAACAGGACCAGAACACGGTCTCCCAGCTCCCTTGCCGGAGGCCGTGCTCCTATCAGATTGGTTAAAACAAGGCACTAGATAACAAGAATGATGCCATTGTAATCTTAGTCTTAAGTTTCAAGTGAGCCACGTTACAGGATGTTATAGGATGCTTCCTTCTAAGTCAATGGTTCTCAACCATGCCCGGAGATGATTTTGGTTGCTGCTAGTGGAATCTAGTAGGGAGAGGACAAGGATGCGGCCAAGCACCACACAAAGCACAACAAAGAGTAATCTGGTGTCAACTGTCAACAACACTGAGGCTGAGTCTGTCAAACACTCTCCCTTAGCAGAGACTGTGGGAGAGTCAGTGGGTGCTTTCTGTCCCCTGGCCACACCGCCCTACTAGGTTCTGAGCTGTCACTAGTAGGTCATGACCACAGCCTAAACATTCTTTGACTTCTTACCCACAGGTCTGGGGGTGGATTGCACAATTAGAGAGTCTAATCTGTACCTGGGAGGCCAGCTCTAAAGAGTAAAGACTCAAAGGGGCTGGGACTGTGCTCTGAACGGGACACAAGTCCAGGGGCGGAGAGCAGGTGGGCGCCCTCCTCTGCACACAGGGAAAGGAGGGAGCAGTCAGAAGAGGTCACTCCTCTCTCCCTCAAGGGACAGAAGCCCAAACAGTGTGTGACTTTAACCTGATTTTTGTCCAGCTCACAGTTCTTATACTCTTTCTCTCCCTGCTCCTGAAATGTGACGATGACGAAGCCCACAAAGATGTTCATCATGAAGAATGCGACGATGATGATGTAGATGATGAAGAAGATGGAGATCTCCACGCGGTAGTTGTAGATGGGGCCAACGTTCTCCCCATTCGAGTCGATGGCTTTATATAGCAACCTGCAGGGTAGAAGGACCAAGTAAGCACTGCCAACCTCACCAACCCAAACAGCCCGGTCTGCTGCCTTCCCAGGGAGCCCCTCTTCTGAATGCGCTCGTGGACACCCACTGTCAGACCTCGCACCCCAAGTCCCTTGGACACAAGCATCTCTGAGGCAACTCCCTTAGCATTAGACCCAGTCAGCCCAGCACCTGGAGGAGGGAACATCTGGGATAGATTCATTGGTTGACTGTTTCAAGGACTGAAAAACAATTTTCACAATTATCCAAAAACAGCCCTTTCTATTCTGATAGTGGATGGGAAGAATGTCACATGTAAGACACCAGCAGAACTGGACACTCTACACACTGGTAAAGACAAGCAAGCAAGCAAGCAATCAGGGTATTGCCAAAGAACTAAGAGAGCGTCCCCAAACTGAAACACTCAAATGAAATACGTGCCAAACACAACTCTCAACAGGAAGAAGGGAAATTCCTATAGTAACCCCAAGGTCATTACCCCCATTCTGATGCCATTCTGATGCAGAAGCAATACTTCTGAGGCACGTACCCATGGGGACACTGTGCTTGGCATTTTCACATCCATCTGGAGTGGCAGACATTGCTGTCGTTCTCAATTTATGGAGGAGCAGAAAGGGCTCTCAGAGCCAGCGGTCACACTCCCAGGGGCAGAGCTGGGCGTTGGGCCAGTTCCTTTGAGCTCCAAATTTGTTCATTACCCCTCACCTTGATTTGCTAAAGCACAGTGTTCAAAACCTGAAAATGCAGCCAGTGCCTCTGTAAAGTGAAAGGTCTTACTCCACGCCTAATCTGTCCCTAGGATCAGTTCCCTAATGGCTAAATCCCTTCCAGCTGTCTTGCTATTGCACAGGAACTCTTATAGCCATCTCTGACTCTCACCTGCATCAAGGGGGCTCTGCCAGTTTGCAGTACTTCTGGGCATGGGAACAGGGCATTTAAGATTCCATCTAGGTCTACAGTTCTGGTGGCAGTGGGGTAAGACAGCAGAGAGTGACAAAGTACAACAGACTCTCCTTTCACATTCTACCTTCCTCATTTTTTCTTTCTTACATTACCCATCAACATCCCAGCCATTTTTTAGGACCTGTTGTGCACGTGCCACTCTGAGTTGGTGTGGGCTTGGGGAGAGGAGGGATGTCTAGATAATTTTGGTTTCTACAGTGGCTATCACAGCAAGTTGCATGGATCTTAAATCATTATGATCATTACATGCACATTTTATGAATGAGCAAGGGCCTTAGTGGAAGACACGGTATAATGGCAACTGTCCATGCCTGGAACATTAGTCTAAGAAGGAACAGATGAATGAATAAATGAATGGTAGGAACACTGTCAAGACCCTCTTTGGCAACAGTGGGTCGGCAGCTTTACTGACATGGCTACCAAAAGGAGCTGGCATGACAAATGAACACTTCAGAGGCCTCCCCAATCCCAGGAGGAGCTCCCCAGGAGTCACTGAGATGAGGTGTCCTGTTGCTGGGCATGTCCTGTTTCCATGCCCAGAGGATCCTCTGCTGGGATCATCCCTGCCTCATAGACACTACAGTCCTGTTAGCTGCTCACAAAGGCTACCCATATCCCTACTCAGACAGAGGAGGCCTGTGAGCCAAGAAGTGATTAGTAAATGGCCCAAAATTTCAAAGTCCTAGGAGAAGCCTGCAACTGTGAAGAGACGTGGACTCCAGGAGGAATGGCTGGGCCCAGAGAACAGGCAAGCAGAAGCACCCGGTAAGACGTCCATCCTCTGTACTTACTCAGGCCAGCCCTCAAATGTGGAGACCGTGAACAGTGCCATCATAGCCGAAAGGACATTGTCAAAGTTGAAATCACTGTTCTGCCAGATCCTCTCCCGGACCACAGGGTTATCAACATCCCCATCCTTGTACAGGATAAAAAGCCCCCTAGAGAGGAAAAGAGGCATGGGTGGGGCCGGCTTGACCTGGGATCATCAGGGTAGCCCCAGTCCCACCTCCGGGCACCATCGCACTCAGTGCCAGCTGGTCCAGCTGAGAGTAGCACCTTCAGCATTTCCCCTTCATCTCCCTGCACTGAATCCACTCTGCAGTTCAAATAACTGCCCAGGAACTAGCTTAGTGGCATTTTCCAGAGAAGCCAGGCAGACACCCAGCATGTGTCTGTTAACAAATGAGAACTAGTGAGCAGTAAACATCGCTCATACACAATGGACTCAATTACACACTGACGAAGCCAAAGCTTTGGCCTTGGAGAATTCCATTTACTCTGGGAAACAAGCCCAGGAGGTATCTTCTTAGTTATATTTTAATCAAATCCCTTCTCTTAACAATCTTCCCAATTTTCTTTCCAAAAGAATTCTGGAACTTTTGGCAATATTTCTCAGGATTTTATTTCTGGAAAGAGTCTAATGTCTTTATTTCACAGATGAGGACTCAGAGGCTTGAGAGGGAAAGGGAGGGTCTCCACCTGCTATTGCACTGCTCAGCTGCAGCCTAGTGAATGGTGCCTCTGGAGGGGCACAGGCACAGTGGTTCTGCAGTGGGTGCTCTCTTACTGCACTTCCTGAGAAAAAGAAACCCCAAGCTAACATAAGCAGCTTGAGCAGCCAGACCTCAGCGACAGCTCGAAGGGATGGGGACATGGCCTTCGACATGGCCACAGGACTGTAGGCAATCGCTCCATGTTGGAGTAAGAGGACTTGTGTTTTTCACTTTACCCTGCCTATGCCTGCTCTTGAAATGGAAATATGACCAAAATGTGGGTGACAAGGACAAGGGGAGAGCAGCAGCCTGGAAAACCTGTCTGAACATGGTGGGCAACTCCTGAACAGTCAGTAGAGCTTTAAGTTCTGGTCTGGAGGAAATCATGGTGGGGCTGTAGGGGGTAGTTTTTTTGGGGTGTCATTTAATAATTGTTACTTTATGTTCTCTGTTTTTTTTCTTCCAGCATACAGATTCCATAGCAAACACAAAAAGTCATCCATGCTTTCTTTGGGGGGTGGTAAAAAGCTTTGGACATAGCTAGAGGTGGTACTTGCACAGCTATGTGATTGTACTAAGTGCCACTGAATCGTACGATTTAAAATGGCTAATTTTTTGTAACATGTATTTCACCTCAATTAAAACAAAATAAAAACAAAAAATCCCTTCAGTCATGAGATGAGCACATGGGCCTCTTTCACTCCATGACAAAATTTCTGAAGTGGTAGCGTGAGCAAATCCTTGATTTTTCCCATGTGTTCTTCCCAATTCCCCACTCTTATGTTCAGGATGCTCACCTGCATTCCTCAGGGTTACTTTTGGCTTCATCTGTGCAGCGATAGAACTTTCCCTGGGTGCAGAATGGACAGACAGTCAAGTGCAGGCTCCCTACCCCACTCCCCACCACCCCCATCCGACTGCTTGGGCTCTATGCGCAAAGGCACATCCGTACCTTGAACAGCTGGACCCCAATGCAGGCGAACATGAACTGGAGGAGGGTGGTGACGATCATAATGTTGCCGATTGTCCGGATGGCCACAAAGACACACTGGACAACGTGCTAAGACACAGGGGATAAGGACAGGGGATATTGCTTGATGTTGTTTTAGCCATAGAGGGAGCTAATATCAGTCAAGATTTTCCATGATGATGCATATTTTCATATGATTTTGCAACCTGGTAATGCTTGTTTTTTAGGTAGTTATTTGCAGGGAGTTGCCCCAGTGCACTGTGGCCAGATGGAGGAGCACCCTGTATATGGGTCCCTCATTGGGCTCCTCTCAAGCAGTGAGCTTGGTTAGACAAAAGGCTAGGGGGTGTAGTGTGGCCTGAGACACAGGCCCTGCCCCATAAAAGGACTTAGGAAAATGCAAACGTTCTGGCCTTTTGTGAAGCCTTCATGCGAATAAACAAAGTCTAAAACAAACCCAAAGAAACACTGTTGATAATGCAAAAGGTAATAAATGAACAGTATTCACATACAGAAAATATCTTAAATGCACCAATTTTTAAAAAAAATAATGATTTCAATAATGCTCATCATCACTTGGCAGAGGCAGCCTAACTGGGCAGAAATTTCCTTTCCAGATGTATATCACACTTTAAAATTCATCAGGCCTCAGCCCCCAGTTCTGGCCCAGAAAAGTCAGTAATTACAGCTAACTTCAATTGAAGCAAGTCCAGCTTGCCGGTGGGGCAGAATCCAAACCTTAAGTCCTTTGGCTCTGTTGATTGCCCTAAGCGGCCTCAGGACCCTTAGGACCCTCAGAATCTTCACAACAGAGATGGCACTGGATCTAAAGAAAAGAGCAGAAGGCAAGAAAGTGAGCAGAGTGGCCTACACTTGGACAAAATACTTTAAGATTACACTTGGCCGTCACATTCATTCTATTATATAACAGGGTGGGACCTCGAGCAAAATCTGTCTCCACAATTCACATAGGATAGTGGGTCTCCTCCTTCCAGGCCACACCACACAGCACCTCCTACTCCCAGCCCAGGGGTTTCCACAGAGGCCCTGGCAGTTGCACAGCTCACCTCCGCAAAGACACCATTTAGGAATCTGCTTTGTTCTTTTCAGTTGACGTAAACACTAGGTAGTGCCTGCCTTGCAGGCTTTAGTTTGTTTGGTTTTGGTTTTCTCTGTTAAGTGTGAAGACCTATGGCAGGGCTTTCGTGCTGGGCTTCTCTAGTCATCAAGAAGCCCATTTTGGGGGAGAGATGGGCAACAGCCAGCTAGCTGGGCAGTACGACAACAGTGGTCATGCAGCTAAGGGAGCAAATCCTGGGGTGCCTGGGGAATCCATCAAACAGGCTGATGCCCAGGTGAGTCCCAAGGGAGGAATGGAGATTAGCCACATGACAAGGGAGGGGCCCCAGCTAAGCAGCTCCTAGGAAAGCCCTAAAGGAGAGAATGCAGCCCCCTTAGCAGTGTAGGTGGCTGGGAGTGTTACCATATGCTCAGGAAGCAGTGGGCCAGGGCCACCGCTTGGAGAAAACAGGCAGATTTGGGAGTTTACGGGAGTTGCAAAGATACTAGTGAGAATGTTGTTTCAAGCTATGACAATATGGCTTCCTCTTCCAAGGCAGGGGTGGCAAGTGAGGAGGATGAACACAGAAAGCCATTTCACGTAGGGGTCCCTGGTGTTCTGAGGGGGCTAGAACCTGTCCATTTACTTGCATGTGTACATGCTCTCATATGGGGGGTGCTAATGGTCAGTACCTGAGCAGAGGTGCTTGCAAATCAGCAGGAAAGCAAGGACATTCCTGGACATTCCCACTGGAGCCTCAGACCTGCCCAGGGCATAGCAGGCAGACTACTCCCTGTCAGAAATCCCTAAAGGTCATGGAAACACACCACAGCTCTGACTTGCAGTCTCAGTTCCTCCCAACTGAAAATTTTAGAGGCCAAAAGAAGGGGTCAGCTGATAGATTCTGGAAACCAAGGGGAGTCTTTACTAGCCAATCTGAATAGGCCCCGATGGCCACCTGGTCCCAGCCCCTCTATAGAGATGGGGAACTAAGATCATGGGAGAGGAGCCAGCAGGCCCTGGATCCAGCCCCTGGAGGAACTCCTAGTAAACCCTCCACACCAAGACTTTGTTCACCCTCTGCTGAAAGCAAATGTCACAAGTGATTAGCCCAAACAAGTAGTGGGCATGAGAAGAAAAAGGGAAACACAAGAAGGCACGATTTGTCCAATGCAAATCAAGCTTTCCCAGATAACGAAACGTGAGCATCAAAACAATGCTTAACTTTTATGAGATGTGCTAAAATTTCTCACATAAACCACAGGCACACAGACACATGCCAGGATACTTACTGGATCCCAAAAGACACAAGAGACACCCCAACAACCAGCATGTCCAGCAAATTGAAGTAGTTCCTGCAGAAAGCCCCTTTGTGGAGGAAGGCTCCGAACGTCGTCATCTATAAACAGAATCATGAGTGATTTACTGTTTTTCTTTTTTCTCTCCCAAGAAAACAAAACCTGGGCTCTTTACAAAACCTTGAGTAGAGTATGACTTAATTAACAAGTGCACATTAGGAAGTCAGAAATGCAAACCAGCAGGGTTGAGCAACCCAGGAATTTTTCCAGAAATGGAAAAAGGCCAGCTGATGTCTAGATCGTTTTAAAAGAAGACTAATTTGGACGTTATTACAGTGATGACAAATTTCAAATATGAATACATCCCTGGCATGTCCTAAGGAGGCTTAGTGTCCGCATGAGGATGTAGTCACTGCCTAGACCCCTGGGCTTCCCTGCCAGCTGTGGCCCCTGTGACACGTTGGGAGGCGCGTTGCTCCAACCCAGGCCTCCCTGTGTGAGCCAGAGAAGGCGCCACCTCCAGCGCTCACTCACTGTTTACACCACAACTTACAACCTCTTTGAGATTGGTCGCTAACTGTCCTATAGGTCCTGAGCAACACGTCCATTTCAAATAGCTCCTCCCGGTCTGGGGACTCCAGCAGGTGCCAGGTATGGCTACAAAGCTAGCCCAGCTCCCACCTGTGTAGTCTCACTGCTCTCTGGTCTATGCCATGTGTGCCCAGAGCCCATCATGGGTGCTCCAGTGAGGTGCCAACTGGTGATGGAAAGAGTTGGTTGGTTTTGAGCTGTGTTTTCATTAACAAAAAAGAAAAAAGAAACCACCAATGTCCCTTCTCCTAGCAATGTTAGCTGAGGTTTCATTTTATAGAAGATTTTGTAAAGAGCACAAGTTCCACTTAGTCTAATATAAAATGCATTTTTTTCTCCTGAGTGCACACATAAAAAACCCAAGGTTTAAAGAAAACTGTTGTTAAAAGTCCTCGTTTCCCAGCTTGTCTACCCATTGGGAGACAACTAACAGTTCTCGTGGGCCACACTGTCCTGGTGTCCTGAGGACCCGGCCACCTAGCAACACTGGCAGGGCTCTCGGCTCCCTGCTGCTGGTCTCCAGACCACTGCATATGAGTGACTGAGCTCACCCCAAGGGGGCCTTGACAGGCACTACACAAAGCACACGCAGTAACGGCAGCTGTTAGCTCATGCATGGGCAGTGCATTTAGAGTTTCCCGTCCAAAGGGTGCTCATTTCTGGCTGTATAAATGCAAGCCCATCCATTAAAACAGATATAAAATATCTTAACACAAACAGACCCAAATTATCTTGCAAATCCCATTGCAAGAAAATAGTGTGCTACTATTTCAGGCCACTGAAAACATAATTCAGTCAGAGATACATTCCTCTCCCAGGATAGTCTTTTCTCTGACTTTGAAGTCAAAGAGATGGAGGAAAAGTTCACACTCAGTGATGCATCTGTTATCAGCTGACAAATTTCAAAGGGTATTAAAAAAGGAGCAAAATACATTTTCCAATCACTGTTATGAAGCTAAAGTAGCTTCAACATGCATCCAAAGATTAAAAAGAAACAGCAAAAGGTTGACTGGTTTATAGGAAAAACTCTTGGTTTAAAAAAACAAAATGTGTAGCTTGATCACAGAAGGCAAAAAACCAAAAATAGTCAAAAGCACGTCACGCATCTCTGCTGTGTGCCACACAGGAGCAGGCCCCTTCACACACAGCCCTGTCGCCTGTTACCTTCAAAATGATTTCAAATGCAAAAGTACCAGTGAAGACATAATCTGCGTAACCTAGCATCTGGAAGGTAAACAAAGAGTTGCAACTATTACTGCTACGTCTGCTTTAGAGTATATGAGGATCAATGCAAAAGCCATTACCTTTAACAGGATTTCAACAGTAAAGATGGCTGTGAAAGCATAGTCAAAGTAACCCAGTATCTGCAAGGCACAACATGTGGAAATGAGAAAAAGGCATCTGGACAAACCCCAATAGCCACATATGCCACATGCACTCAGGGGCCCTCCTCCCAGGATGAGTCTGCCACTCTGGAGCAAATGCAGAGACACTCTGAAGCCCTCCAGGGTCCAGCCACAGCTCGCCTTATGACCACCGAAGAGTACCTAGGGACACTTACCTCCTTGACCCTCTCACGTTGACTCTTACAAGTCTTATGTCTTAGATGGGTTCATTTCTACAAATGTATTAGTAACCTTTCTCTTCAGAGCTCTATAGCCACAAATCACTTGTGGCATCAGATCAATTCACTTTACACACATTTTAGATTTTCAATTGCATTGTTTGCTGAATGAAATATACTGTCCTTCAGTTTGGTGGATAAATGTAAATAAAGATGGAAGTGGTGTCGAATGGGACCAGACACTTCCACAGGTTACCTCTATCCACAGCAGGGAGTCCATACCTTCCCTATGTGCCAGGCTAGCTACGTCCACAAGGAAGACTCTTTCTCCTGTTTTTCACCTTGCTGAGCCCACTCAGAGAACAGATGGCCCTGGCCTTTCAAATGTCAGCTCAGGCTACTTTGTCAGCACTGCTGAAATACTATCTGCTGTCCAACCGAGGCCTACAACCCTTCTGGGTCCCTGCTTCTGCTGAGAGCCCAGGGCACAAGAGAGGGGGCAGGTGGGCCAGCACCAAGAAGTCTGACAAGTCAACTAAGTGGTCTCACAGGACCCCCCCACCCCCCAGAAAGCCCCAAACTGTCCACAAGAGGCATCTTAGCTGCATGCTGTCCTGACAACTGCAGCCTGTGGTAAAAGAACTAAAGAGATCAGAGCCAGAAGGGGACACCCCAGCCATCCCTTTTCATTTAATAGTGAGGAAGCTGGGAACAGCGTCAGTGGGGCTCAGGCTACAGAGCCAGTCTCGGGTGTTGTTGACCAAGTTGCTCGGCCTGTCAGATGCGAGTCAAGGGCCTCGGACTTTGCTATTTCAAGCAAGGGCTCCAGCCCCGGTTAGGGGCGGGTGGTCCTTTGCTGCTCTGTGACAGTAAGGTGAGACATCTGCTTCTAAGGCCAGTTCTCCTCAGCTGAACGTCTTTCTTCATAAGGTACTCATTTCCCCAGCTGCTTTGTGGATTAATCAGTTTTGCTAGAAACTTTCTGTGCATTTATTGGTGTTTCGGGCCAAGCAATGCAATGAACTTTCAGCACATGACCAGGCCCTGCTGCTTCCTCCCTAAGTCCCCCAAGCTCACAGCAGGATTGTCAGTGTTGAAAGCACCCACGATGCCGAGAAGATATTGCTTCCTGTTCATCACGGATAGCGTGGTTCCAGGGTCAAAGCTCTCAAGCTGAAGTTCTTTCCTCACTCAGCCTCCATCCTTTCATTCACTGATCATTCAGAGTTTAAACAAAGCCGTGTGGCATCTAAAACAGTCACACTCACAGGTGGAAAGTAGAATGGAGGTCATCAGGGTGGAAGAGGGGAGACCTGCTGAGTAGGGATAAGGTTTCCTTCATATGAGATGCCCCCATTCTAGAGACCTGCCATATAACACAGTGCCTACCGGTAAGACAGTGCTTTATACACACAGACATCTGTTAACACGGTAACTCTCGTGATCAGTGTTCTTTCCACACATTGTGGTATATTAAAAGCAACACACATATGCACATCTATTTAAAAAGAACAACATTCTTGGGGGAAAGCAGCAGGGAAATAAACTCAAGGAGACATGATTACAATTAAAAAATAAGAACATGAGGCCCCAATGTAAATTTACTGTTTGTCAATCTGGGTTCTAGACTAACTCCTGACCTAGCCTTGTCACATCATGATATTGTTCCCCCGCCCCCCGTCCCCAGCTCTTCCCTTGGCATCTCATTTCCATGATGGAACTTAGCGGCATGGAGAGAGGTCTTTGCTCTGTTTGGATGTTAAGATACACACCCTGGGGAACCTCCAGCATAAGGCCTACTCTATGCGTGCAGATTGGGACAGGCTCAGAGCCTTCATCTTTACCTCACACCAAAATGTGCCTTCAGGTAAAGTTCTTTTTATCTCCTATCGGGGTGCACCTTTTATCAACTGGATAGATTAGATTTACCAAACTTCAAACGAAGAGCACAGGAAATGGAAAGACATAGCCTGAGACTTGGTTGTCACAACCCAAATCCCCAGGGTATTGACCTAGTGATTTGTCTTGATCCTCAATTTTCTAAAAATCTGATGTACAGAAATAAGCAGCCCTTCTCCCTGTCAAGCAGGGGCACTAGGTGGCCCAGCATACTTTTCGGCCTCCCTCTCCTATGGGGACTTCCTGGCCCTTACCTGAAGCTGCACTTCAACATCGGCAGCCCCAGTCTGCACGCACAGATCAGGCTGTCGACTGGCTACCGGCTCTGAAGTTGTCTAACCTTCATCTGCACTGTTCTCAGCGCTGAGTTAGCCGAACTGGTGAAATGGGGCTGCTGAGTCAAGAACTCGAGCCGATGTGGTGGAAGGGAGCTATCCCTATGTCATGACTCTGAAGGGCAGAAAGCTTCCCCCTGCCCCACCAAAATACCATTCCCTCTCGCTGAACCACTCTGCACCCCATGCCTTCACTTCCTGACCGTTTCGCCTCAGAAACAGAATCAACTTGCTTGGTAAATTGAAAGTTCACAGTAGAGGTGATTCTGACAGCCCTGACAAAGAGCTCCTGGGCAGGTGATATACCTGGTTTCCCTTGCACTTCTTCTCCCTGCCAGACGCTTCCACCAGGGAGAAATCCCAAATTAGGTGTGGAAGAGAATGTGGCTGAGGAAGGGGAAAGAAGGGACCACAATTTTGGCAGCAAGGAAGGAAGAAGAGAAGCAGGGATCCTGAACATATGAAAAGTAACTGAAGTTTTTAGACACACAATTAAATAAGGGTTTGTCGTGATTAAATAAAACCTCTCTGGCACTTGCAAACCTGAAACGTAAAATGCTGCAAGGGAATCAGAGGCCTGTACTAGAGCTCCACGAGCCAGCCTGGCTGATGGCTTCTGCCTGGGAGGCCAGTGCAGACCCCAGGGTGAGCCCACCCGCCTCTCCCAGCTCAGGGGCTCACAGTGTTCCGGAAGGAATGGCTGCGGATGGGGTCCTCAGCGGCGAGGGCGGCGCTGCTCAGCATGATGAAGACGAGGATGAGGTTAGTGAAGATGTGGTGGTTGATGAGTTTGTGGCATCCCACGCGGATCCTGGGGGGAAAGTCACTGCATGGACACTGCCCTAGGCAAGGACAGGCAGACAGGCCAGCACCTTCAGCCTGCCGGGCCCCTCTGCAGTAACAGGTCAGGCAGAGGACACCTGTCTGCTGTGCCACGTATGCTCCCACCCAGCAAACCTGAGCCACCTGACCACTAGCCCTTGGAATCCCCACACAACAGACCTTAAGAGCTTAAGGTCTTAAGTGATCACCTTAAGAACTTTCTTAAGGTGACATAGCTAGAAGGAACCAGGAGATTTCCAATCTGAGTCTTTCTGATAGTGACATTCTCCGCTATAAAGTGAAGCCCCACTGCTCAGCTTCTATGCCTTGGACACCAGAGATCACAGCAATAGCTCACAAAGCATGACAGCAAGCCCTCTCTCTACTACAGCTCTGTTATATTAAAACTGACCTCAGGAAGTCAGGCTTGGCAAAATCTCCTGTATTGTGGGGACTTTGTTATAAGTGCTAATTTTTCAGAGTTGACCCACATTAAGCACCCCCAAGAAGGTGAAGTGGAAGTCACCCCATCATGTAGGACTGTACAGGTTTCACTGCTCTGGGTGGTGGGGTTTTCAGGGAGTCCTGTGGTACCAGGAAGCAGGGCTGCATAGCAGAGGCCCAGCACCCCTGGCCTGGCTCTGACCATAGTTCTGAGGCCACCAGCGCCTCTCCCTGGGGAGAGGCTGCACCGCCCCTGCCCAACCCAATGTCCTGTGGGTTACTCAGGGCCTGACTGCTTACCCTCAGCATTTGACCTTAACATTTAAAGATTTACTTTTGGCCAACAGAATCCATGTAGGTTTTCCTTTGGAAAGATTTTTTTACCTTCCCAACTGGAGTTAACTTTATAAAATCACCCCTTGTTTCAAATCCTCCTTTCTGGGGGTGATTAACACCAGATGCGCCCTCAGAGGGCCGGCAGATGAGTCTGGGGAAGACTTTCCAAAGCAGTGAGTCAGGAAAGCTCACAGCCATGGGGTAAAATCAGTCCTCTCCTTGGACAGATGGACACACGGTGAGCATTAGGTGCTATAACTTTGGTTGAGTAACTTTTTTAAAAAAGATGACCAAACCCTCAGCAGTGACGAGCTTTGTAAAAGCTGTCGTCAGGTCTCTCCAGCCCTCGAGGACCTTCAGCCAGCCTTGCTTCCCACCTGTATCTCCCTGAGGTAATTTTTACAATTCTCTGAGAGCCGAGGTCTACATCTGCAATTCTAGAAGTCCTTCCAGGGCCCATGCATCCCTCTGACATTTCAGTCAATCCCACAAGATTTGAAACCTAGAAACCAACTAGTAAATAAACATCTTTTTCTTACAGTATTTGTGAGTATTAGCATGTTCCTGGTGAAGCCCTGACTATTTTAACATGAGAAATGGTATTTTAAGCAGAGTATCAATTCGTCAGAGTTGAACTAAACAGCTACGATCTATAAATTGTCACTGAGCAGGATTACTCTATCACCTTAAAAATAGGAAGAACTTGGTCACAAAATTTCAGCCCAAAAAGCATCTTAAAAGGCGGCCCACTCACTAAGACAGGGTCTATGGGATAAAAAAAACACTTCCCAGGGGACAACCCGTAGCACACCAGAGCCGTGGGCGCCAGGTGAGCACAGGGACTTTGCCACCCTTGGCCCCAGTGCAGGGCTGGGGAGAGGGGAATCTGGAACAGCGTTCCCCCCACCCCTGTGCCCTTCCTGCAGGAAGGGAGAGACTAGGAAGAGATGAACAGAGGCAGCAGCAAGGCCAGGAAGGAGAGGGGTTCGAGGGGACTGATGGGCAGAAGGGGGCTGAGAGCTACCTTCCCTCATTAGGCCCCCAGACACCCTCAAGCAACCCCTCCAACTAGAAAGGGGTATTTACGGATTGGTCTTGCTGAGAATGAAGAAAGCACTCCCTTCAGGGATGGGGGCGATCTTCTCCTTCATGTTCAACTCAGAGATTCTTCGAGGACGGGGACCAGCGGGGACCTCGGGTTCATCCTCCTCCTCCTCCTCTTCCTCTTCACCTACTTTAAATGAAACACTTTTTTTATAGACATGAAGTAACATTTGGGTTTGAATTACTTCTCTCAATTTCACATGAAAATTTGGCTTAAACTTGACCATTTATCTGCTTACATTAATTAAAACCCTTCAGGACATGGACTGTGTCTGTGAGCATGGACAGTGGTGGGAGGACGTTCCCAGCAGTTGAAGATCTGAGCACAGGCCACAGTGGCAGCGGTGGCATCTCACAGCCATCCTCCTAGCATCTGCCTGCCGCCCCATGACCTGGCTCAGCTTCAGCTGAGAAAGTGTGTGTGGGATTCAAGTCACATATGATCAGGCCCCCAGGCTCCCCACCCCACAGTCCTGCCTACATTCGGCAATAAAGGCACCAGTTAAATGTCAGTGTGTCAGGGCGTAGTAGTAATTGGTCACCACCTGGAGCAGTCTCCCTGCAAAGGCTGGGGTTGCTGGGAACTACTCACACTCTCTCCCCTCACCACCTGGAATTTGGGTTATTGAATTCTGCCTGGGACGGAGAGAAAAGCAGATCTCGCTGGCCCATAGGGATTGGACACATGGCCTCAGTGGCCTCAGCAGCCCAGTGTGCACTTGCTGGACTGGCCCGTCACAGACTCCAAGGGATGGCCACGCCATGTCACCTGTGAGCTGAAAGCGCCATACCTGGCACATCACAAGGCGGGTAGGGGTCCTTGTCCTCATCCTCTTCTCGGTAGTCATCGATCGTAACCTAGGGTGAGAGAGATCTTGGGAGGAGGGGAGGCTGACCTACATACACTTCACAAGGTCAAAGTGAAGAACCAACCCTGCCATTCATTAAGTGGCAGAGAAGTCCTCTTCAAAGCACGTGCTAGACGTGAGTGAGTGTTCAGGGATGTGTCGGGACCAGTGGATGTCCTCATTGGTGATTCTTCTTAAGAGAGAAGGGCGAAGGCAGATGCAAACACTGGCATGAGGCCTGCCCAGCCATGGTTAGGGGCGCCACCCACACCTTTGCCATCCTGTCCTGGCTCCATCACAGACGTGTGCACAACTACACTGCAGGTGTCTGCCTCCCGACTAAATGCTGAGCTCCACTCAAGCAGCCACCTTATTGGTCTTCTTCATTCCTGATCCATGAGAAGTGATGCATAGCAACCACCAATGCAATGAACAAATGAGCGAAAAATCGAGACTACCATAAGCAGAATGCAGTCTGATAGTAAAGCCCTGATCCTGGATCCCCTCTGGGGGCAGACATCTTTAACAATCCTTAATTTCTAATGCCCACTGGGCATTAATTTCTAATGCCCTCTCCCAAGTCAGATGTGATCCCACAATTCCAATAAGGAAAAAAATACGTGGTGAGATCAGTCAAATATTTATCATACCTAAAGCACATATAACCCTGCAGAGAAGCCAGCACTGACAAGGCAGATGGACTCTCACGCGAAATACCACAAAGGACACCTTCACGGTGCAAATGGCACATTTATGGAGACATCAACAGAATCATTTTGAAACAGAAAGGGAAAAAGTAGTATTTGAGAACAAATACCTTGTTATCACTGTTGGCTATCTGATTAACTTCTGGTTTGTTATTCTTTTTATTTTCCAGGCTTTCTTTTCTACGAAGAAGAGAAAACAAGAAACCAAATAACCATGTTGCTATGTATAAAAGTGTTCATCAGGATTATCAATCAGCAATGGCCTAACAAAGGACAGAATTTAACTGGAAATAACACTAGCAGCAAGAACATAGCACAACCACCCTCAGTGCTCCCTGTTAGTATAGGGACTTGGATCCTTTACATAGATCACCTTATCAGCATTCTCATCTGAGAACTAATCAATATTGAATGCATCATTTATTTCATGACACCAAAATTAACCACAGCAATTCTTTAAGCAAGGAGATATGACTCTCGGCTGGGAGGCAATGAGAGCCAAGGGACCCCATCCTGTTTGGTCCAAGACCACTACAATCACCACAAAGCACAACACAGGACCTTCACTGTGGCTGGCTCCCCTCAGCAAAACACCTCAGGAGAAAATGGGGTTACCTGGCAATCTTTTTCCTTTCCTTTTCTTCAGCTTCCTCTTTCTGAGCAGTATTCAAACTTTCAGCATCAGCCAAATTGTCTACAGCGATGGCCAAGAAGACATTCAGTAGAATATCTGATTTGAACATTTTAAGGGTACAACACATACTGAAATACAATTACATCTGTTCAACAGTGAGAAGATGACACCCTTGTGTTCTGGGATGGTGCTGGTGACTGGCATTACTGCTATATTCACTTGGTAAATTCTGCTTAAAAAATGAAACAAACTAACCATCATATAAAATAGTCTAGAAAGAAATAAAATCAAGATTCACTAATACCCGCTGAATCGCCAACATTTACTTTGGTGTGTATATGTGTACATTCATGCCTGTGTTCTAAATACCTATAGCTATGGCATACACTGCACTGAACAATCTGTAACTTAAACATGCTGGGTTTTTTTAATGCCTTTTTCTTTATGCATTTTGTTTTGCTTCTTTTAAAATTTACACACCCACTAACATATATATCCAGGGACATGCTTTCCAAAACAGACCCCTTTAAGGGGCTACATATTATTCAAATGGTGAATCCACTAGATGAGACAATCTGAGCCTCCCTCATGTGAAAGGCCTTCGGAGTCCATTCCATTCATGTCCATTTCACGTGGACTGACTGCCTGCGATGTGTCTGGCTTGTTGCCAGATGGCACAGGCTATTCTTTTGAATAGTCCCACTGAGCCTAAATCGTTGACTCCCATGGCTGCATTGTATTGCAAATCGTAGAAAGCTAGGTGATTGGTTACCAAGTTTTGACACTTATTACATGCTGCATGTGTGGTATCCTTGAATGATTAAAAAAAAAATGTGAACAAGGTTCCCAACTCAGAAGACGCCTGTTTTGTATTGACTAATGCTTAAATACATTTTTGAGAGGTACAAAGACAGGGACTGGGGGAGGGGGGTGCAGTCATTCAAGACAGCTCCCTTCGGGCTGATGCACAACCATCTGTATGTAAGACTGCTGGAGTCGGGACCCCAGACAGGAGTGGTGTACCGCTGTCCCACATGCCTGGTGCAATCTGAAATCTCAGGGTGGCTGAACATGTAAACAAACATAATCTAACAAGGGGCTGATGATGAGATAGCTTCCAGGGGAGATCATGCTTGACTAATCAAGTCTTCAAGAGGACAAAACGTGAGTGAATTATACTAAGGTTCTCAAAATGACTTTGATATGCTCAAGTATTTTTTAAACAGAGCTACAAAGGGCCTGGAGAAGGAACATGTACTGAGCTGAGAGGCAGCGTGACAAGGGGAACACTCTGCTGATGGGCAAGGGATAACCGTGGTTCAGATAGGGGTTATTGTGGGACCAACTGTATTCAGCATTCCTATCAATATCTCCATGAGGAAATAACACATCTCTAGTCTTACAAGGACACCAAACTCTTTTAGGTTGTGAAAACCAAATCCAGACTAATAAACTACAGGAAAATCTTAACAAGTTTCTAATAGATGCTTTCGAATAGCAGATACCCAGGATCATTATCCAGAACCTTGTAAACTACAACGTACTTTGGAACTCATTCAAAAAGATCTATCAAGCACTTCTGATATGCCGGGTGCTGTTCTGGGAGCTTAGGTCAATTCATGAAAGATGGGTCCCCACCAGTTAAGAAAAGTCTTAAGAAGACACAGATGTACCTCAGCCTCCCAAGGATGCTGGCACAGGAAACACTTGGCTTTGCCCAAAGCTGTCCCTCTCACCTGACACCCACTGGGTGACACTGGGGTAGCTCACACCTGGCTCGTGCTCCCTCCCTCCCAGCTTACTCTCATTCCTCAAAGCCCACCTGGAACTCTGCTTCCACTCTGCTGTCCCAGCAATGGCAAGAGAGAGCAGACAGGACAAGGTAAAGGTATTCGCTTCTCCGCCACTGCTACCATCACCGCGGGGAATTCAGAGGAGAAATCAAACCAGACAGTGACAACAAAGCTGTAGTCAGCTTAAAGGATACAGTTACCACAAATGAAGAGAATGATGAAGTATATGCAGACAATCATTCCTGAAGACGACGGTCCCCCATAAGCCATAATGCCATCGTACATCACAGCATTCCAGTCTTCACCTGTCAGGATCTAAGACGACAAAATTGGGATCAGCCAGCAGGTGAACTCACAATTCCAGCCATTCTCCCAGGGATCCCGGGCGGCTGCCTAGATGTGGTTTCAATGCCTCTGACAGTCCACTTTGCACTGAACAAATCCATCTGTTACCCATCAAGTTTTCAAAACATTATTTTCAGTTCACAAATACAAGAGTTATTTCTTCCGGTGAAAATAAAGTGACATCCTATAAGATTTACATGCTGTCTGACTACACCTCAGCCCAGGTTTAGCATATTCCCCAGGGAGCACACTATTGCTCTCTCCTTCCAGGATGCTGATCTGTGAATTTAAACACATTTACATGCCCAGAGAAAACAGGATGCTGGTGTTGTGTCTGATTAGACATAAAGGGCATCATGCTATAGGAATTCTCAGGAACTTGCTTTTCTACCATTTAAAAAATATACTCAGGAGACCCTCTAGTCCATAGGTTGCCCTCATTCTTTTTGATCATTGCCTAGTATTCCATATAATCAACTGTGGAGATGAAAAATGTACCTTTTTAGAAGCAGGGAATTCCAAATACTCATGTAATTTAATTTTTTTTTAAAGATTTATTTTATTTATACAAGAACCAGGGTACAGGCCAGATGCACCGGAGGGTAAGAGGATTCACCAGAGACAGAGCAGAGAATAGAAAAGGCAGACTGACGAAATACACTGCTGAGGGGAGCAGCGGGAGAGATAGGAGAGGTCTGCTCGCCATGTGGGTTGCTCCAAGGCCAGCGGGGATTGAACCGGCACTGCAGAGGCTTCACAGCACTGCGCTCAACCATCTGCGCCACCAGGGAGGCCCTCATGTCATTTTAAAACTGCTTAATGAGTAGATACTAACAACCCACCTGAAATTTCAAATTTATATTTCCCTACTGATGATAACTGATAATTTAATCCATCATGAACACACATGACAAATTTAAAATGTGCTATCTTCCAGAGAGAAAGAGATCTCCCTTATTTTCTATCTGGACCAGATAGTTTAAAAATTAAAACTGTCACAGATAGCCAACAGAAAAATAAATGATTTGAAAAGATAAAGCAATTCACAAAAAGGAACTATAGATAGCTTTTAGTCATATGAAAGGCACTCAACTTTACTCCTGATAAAAGAAATACAAATTAAAACTTCTATATGATACCATTTTCACCCAGCAGCCAAGCAACCAAATAAAAAGTTCAAAGACCCATTATGGTGAAAGGAAAAAAGAAAGTCGTCTCCACCCTCATCACTAGAGGGTAAATGAGCACTACCTTAAGGAGGGCACTTGGACCAAGAGTATCAAAGTTGAAAATGGATATACACCTGTCAAACCAGCAATTCCACTTCTGGGAATTTATCCTACAGATCTGCTCTCACCCGTGTGGGTCTTGGTAATGTGCAAGTTCATCCACTGAGCCAAGACAGGACACAAAATATTCCTCAGTGGGGGCTGGTTACATAAATGATGACATATCCAACCACAGAATTTATGTCCCACACAAAAGGAAGAAGCCACATTTTGGACTAATAAGTAAGGATCTTAAGGACACTTTAAGTGATAAAAAAAAGCAAGGTGCAAAACAGAACGTTGAGTGAGCCACCATCTGTGTCTATTCACCCGTAGGTTGGAAAGGAGGTTAACTGATTTACACCTGAGCAAATATCTCATCTATCTCTAGGAAATACATAAGAAACTTGAATGCAAGTTTTCTTCTAGAAAGGGAAATGGGTGGGGCAAGGTGGTTGTGTTTTTTTTGTAACATATGAATTATGTGCCATACAACATACTAGAAAGAACCATCACCACCACACAGGCTTCTCTGAAAGAAATCAGAAAAAGAATGACTAATCAGTGGCCAAAAATTAACTATAATTCAAAATATTAAAACCATGGCCCCTAGTAGTGACAGTAATTCCATTCCTCTCAACATGACCAAGTGGGAAAGATTCTTAGAGATCATTCCCCCTGGTCTCTCCATCTTTCAGAAAAGGACAGTGACTTCCCAAGGTCACATCACTGAACAGGCAGCATCACCGTCCCCTACCTTTCTGCATCTCTGGTGGGCTCTGCTGCTCATTGACATCAAATGTGGAAAGCATCAAGGACAGATCTGCTTTGTCCAAGGAAGGGCTTTTGCCTCTAGACATACCAAGAGGTGTAGAGAACACCTGCACTTATGCTTAGGTGGGGTGGAGGTGGTGTGCTGAGTGCACGGCCACCTGTCACCCCCTTCTCAGCCCAGTGCCTGCAATAGCCCCAAAGGCACAGACATCTGAGTCTGTGTCCTCATTGTATCACATGAGACAGGACAGAAATGGGGCAGAAGGCTGTCACAACCCTTATCATCCTAATTCCTCTGACTCCACACCAAAGCATTAGGGCTTTTGAATTCACTTACTTGCACAAATCCATTATAGCCAGGATTACAAAACTTGCCTGCAATCAAAAATTACCAAAGGACGAAGTGATGCTTTCAGAGTCTATCTCACAGAAACCTCATGAAATCACAGTTCTATGTTTTATAATATACAGTGGTTTACAAAAGCTGTGATTCTCATCACATAGACAGCTGGAGTGAGATGCAAAACAGATGCCTTAAATGGCCCAGAACTTATCAGAGTGTCATCAGGACTGACGTTATTAATAAAAAATGGAATCGTTTCATCTTACTGACTGCTGTGAACAGACAAGGCAGCTCAAAATGGGCTTCTCAGGGAAAGAAGGCCGGAGGGCTCACCTGAAATACTGTTAGGAGTGCTTGGGGGAAATTGTCAAAGGTGCTCCGTTTGGTTTGTGTTTCATCAAAATTAAACTTGCCGCCAAATAGCTGCATCCCGAGCAAGGAAAAGATGATGATGAAGAGAAAAAGCAGAAGCAACAGAGAAGCGATGGACTTCATGGAATTTAACAAGGATGCCACCAAGTTGCTCAGGGAAGTCCAGTGCCTGCAAATCAAGATGAGGGTGTGAGGCCAGTACCCTGGTGAGGGCCAGAGCAGAACATCACCTGACCAGGGTCATGCCTGACCAGCACCTGACATCCAGATGCCACCTGCAGCGAGACACAGTGGTCCTTACCTGGTCACTTTGAAAATTCTTAAGAGGCGCACACACCGGAACACAGAGATCCCCAGAGGAGACATGATTTCCAGTTCCACCAAAATGGTTTCGGTAATTCCACCACATACCACGAAGCAATCAAACCGATTAAAGAGAGAAACGAAATATGCCTGAAGACCCAAGCTGTACATTTTCACCAGCATCTCGCAGGTGAACAAAGCCAAGAGGACTTTGTTAGCAATATCTGGAAAGACAAAGTGACACAGTCCTCAAGATCTCGGGCAAGGGCTGGCTCAGACCCCCTATTCCCATCACACCCGCTTCCGTTAGTGCCCCTCAAGCCCAGGCTCTGCTCCAAGCACCCCCGGCTCTCTCTTTGCTATTGTCCCCATTACAGAAATGTGGCACTAATTTGCATGGTCCGTTTATCTGCCAGGCTCTAGTCCTACCTCTGATCCTACTTAGATGTATGCCTCTGGAGAAATTCCTTGATTTCTCTGGGCCTTGGTTTCACTGGGTTGGGGCAGTTAATGCCATATGGCCTCTGAAGCTTTTCAGACCCAAAAGTCTGTGATTCTGCATTTATACCATCATATTATATTTTCTTGTTTTAGTCACACATGAAAAGACTATCTGGTCAGTGTGCTTACAGCACCAGGACATAAGAGGCAGTCACCTATCAATGTTATTTCTAACAGTAGAAAAAGCCACCCAACAGGCTGGAGATTTGGGCAGAAATAGACTGGACTTGATATAAATCAGGACTTTTCAGTGGTTCAAAACTGTCAGCTTGGAATGAGCTGTCTGTGGGGAGAACCATGGCACCACACTGCTGGAAACAAGCAACCACTTGCCAAGACTCCTAAAGGGAAAATAATGCTTCCAGAATGGGCCAGGAGAAGGGATATGAGGTTCTGTCCACCCCCCAGATCCTAAGTCACCAAGGGGTTAGGACAATGAGTTGCTCTGAGTTAATCAGCTCCAACGTGCTTCATTCACCATCTGACATGGACTGCACCCCCACTCCAAGTGCACCCTGTGTTTGGATGATTCCAGAGTTAGCATTCAGGAGAAATGTTCTTATACATTATTACACATTGACCAGATTAGACTAAACTGCAAATGGATAGCCCTCAGAACCCCTCATTCAGAACAAAGAGAAAGGCTCTGCTTGTACCTTGAATCTGTGTCAACCAGTCAGGCTGGTTGTAGTGCTCAGAGGAGATGGTTAAGGTGTTGAGAAACACCAGGACAATAACTAGCCAGTAAAACGTGACAGACTTCACGGCAGCCCTACATCGTCTGCGATTGAAGCGGTTCCAGCGACGCCAGCGTCGGCTGAAAGAGAAGCAGATGTTACTCACTGGGCATCACACGTCAGAGGACCCAGTACATGCTACTGAGAAGTAATATGACTTCCCCTCTGGAGGTCTGGGTTGGGGTGTGGGTGCAGGAGGAAAAGAACAAGAGGCCAAAAAATTAACAGACATCACAATATAAATTATTTTGGTCTTAAAATACTTCTAAAGAATTGTCTTGACTAGGACATGCTATCAGTTTCCTTCCTGTGGTTTTAGATAAGTCCAGAATCTGTCACGTGCCATCGTCAAACTGGTTAGGAAATCTAGATATTCATAGGTTTGTGTGCAGATGCAAAACCGCTCTTGCACGCATATGCGGTTTGCATTCCCACCATATGGCACAGGATCTGTTCGTGCTGTCGATGCAGAGAGCCACTTAGCTTAACATACACATCTCTCTCGGCACCTCAATCATCGCAAGCAGTTTATTTGGCAGCAAAATGCTCCCAAACCAGTTTTCCTTTTAGGGAAACCTTCAGTCCTTTCCTGATTCTCAGAGGTTCCTCTGGAGCCTGGCAGAGTTGTCGAAGCTGAGTAGGACATGAGTCTTCATACTGAGTCATCAGGTGCCCTTTCTAACTAGTGATGCTCAAAATATACCTTTAGGAGAAAAGCCAATATTGAATCGTGTTTTCATACAAATAAAATGAGCTGAGCCCACAGGCAGTAGCATGTCCCCTACCTACTTTCAGTTCCTGTTTGTAATTAGGGAAAGTATTCTCTCCCTTAGCCTGCCTCCCTATGGAAAATGCTCCATGTCACAGGATGCTCTGCGCAGTGGATCCTGGGGAAGGGCAGCTGAGGGCTGCTGTCAGTCCACTGCAGGCTGTGCTCACTGAGAGGAAGGAGGCACTTCCTCCAGGGGCCTGAGTCAAAGGAATCTCCAGGCTGCATCTGAGCTTTAGCTCTGGCTGACTCAGCTGCGTTGCTATACTAAAAAATAACAAAACAAAAACGAGGGACCAGGCAAAGAGATCTGTGCCAAATCTTCAGCAAGACCCGGAACAAGCAAGGTGCACTGTTACTGCTCTTGCTGTGTGGTTTCCAAAGCTGAGAGCAGCTGGAAACATGATGATCAGCTCAGAAAAAGTCCACAGAGGACACTGATGACTCTCTCCTTCAAAGCTCAGTTTTCCCTGTGATACAGAGTTCAATGCACCTATGCAAGAAGCTGTGAGCAAGATCCAGTACTGTTGGGTCTATTTATGCTGCAGGAACAGGTCACAAATATCTTCCAAACCTAGAAGACCTCTTGTTGTGTCCCCTACACTCCTGACCTTGCCCCTGCTGGGTGCTGAAAACCCAAGTGGCCAGGCCCTCATGAAACCAGCACCCTGTACCAGGCACTGGGGATATGAAGATGAAGGCATAGTCCCACTGGCCTGTCCCTGAAAAGCATGCAAGTATTCCCAGACTATTTGGTATGGGAGCCAAGAGAACTAAGCCACAAACGCACTTTGGAAGATTCAGGAAAGGCATCTCAAAAAAACAAACAAACAAACAAAAAAACCCCAACAGACAGTTGTGTTGGATCCTGGATCCTGGAGGCTAAGTAAGAGTTGGCCAGGGGGCAGAGGGAAGCACTGTCCACCTCTCTATCGCAGGTGAGCATGCGGCCAAGGGACTGAGGTGCAGAAATAGCTTATGGTATGTTTGAAAACTGAGAGCTGCCCACCGGAGCTATTAAGTGGGGAGCAGGATAGGGGTATCAAAAGATAAAGCCAGGTAATTATATCTCAACGAAAGAGTATTTTTTGAAATAAAAGATGAGACCAGAGGATATGCTGGGGCCAAATTACAAAGGACTTTTTATGCCTTCTAGTAACAGGGAGTTCTGAAAGGGCTTTGAATTCTTTTCTTAAAAGTCAGGTTTACTGAAAGGTAAATTTACAGTGAAATTTACTTTTAAGTATACAGTTTGTGAACATCACCAGATGGTCAAGGTCCAGAATATTCCCACCACTCAAAGGGCCACTCACTCGTCCATTGCCTTCGGCAGTTCATCCACTCTCTCAGCCCAGCTCCTGACAATGACTGATTGGTTTTCTGTCCCTATTGTTTTGCTTTACCCCAGAATATCCTATGAATAATCACATAATATATAGCTTTTTGAGACTGGCTTAGTTTACTTTGCAAAACGACCGGAGGATTACTGTGGTGCTGCACCAATCAGTCGTTTATTCTTCTTGTTGAGATTAGTCTACCATTTGGATAAACTACAACTCGTCTACCCATTCACCATCTGAGTTAGTTTTTGGAAATTTGAATAAAACTGCCATCGACATTTGTGTGAAAATCTTTTGTGTAGGTATATCGCTTCATTTCTTTTATATAAATACCTCGGAAGCGCAATTGTTGGGTCATATGGTAAGTATGTGTTTAACTTTATAAGAGAACTGAATCACTTCGAAAATGTCTGGCATTTGAATAGCAGCAATGTGTGAACACACTCACTGATCTGCAGCCTGGCCAGAACTTGACATTATCAGATTTTTAAATTTGATCCATTCTAAAAGGTATGTAGTGGGATCCTATTGTGATTTTAAGTTGCATTTTCCTAATGACCAATGGTCATTTCATGTGCTCATTTGATATCCACATCTCCTCCATGGTGACATGCCTGTTAAAATCTACACATCACATTTTGACTTATTTACTTATTATTATCATTATTCTTTACACATTATTCTTTAAGAGCAATGGATGCTATTTCCTTATCAAATGAATTTTGCAAATTTTCTTCCAATCTGTGGCCCATCATTTTATTATATTTTCTTTCCAAGAGCAGTTTTCATTTTGATGACATCTAATTTAACAGGTCAATTTTCTGCTATGATTAGTGCTTTGTGTGTTATAGCCAAGAAATCTTTGCCTAATCCAGGTTACAAAGATTTTCTCCTAGAATTTTTATAGTTTTCGGTTTATATATTTAGTTCTATGTTTATTCCATTCTAATTTCTATTGAATTATAATTGGCATGTAACATATTAGTTTCAGATATACAGTGCAATGATTTGATATTTATATGTATTGTGAAAGTTAATTTTTTATATAGTGATAAAATCCTTTTTTTTTTTTGGTGTCTGAAGATAAGGAGGAAAGCAATTGATGACTGATAGTAAGTGATAAAATATTTTTAGTTGAAAATAGCATTTATATGAAAAAGCATACAAATCATAGTATATGGTCCCATGGATTTTTACCAACTGAACAAGCTTAAATGTAAGCTGAACAAAGCAAATAACGACATTACTACCACCTTCGAAGACCTCTTGAACCTCCTTCCTTGGAAAGCTTTTAAGCAGAAAAATGATAAGGAGTATCTCAGAGAAATGGTGCTGGAGAGAAGACTCAATGACAAAAAAATTATTCAGTGTTGCATTTTGTTGGTTGGTTTTGGGGTGAGATTTCAGCAGGTACTACATGGCTCTCCCAAGGCAGACAGGTGCTCACTGTTAACTGGACAGCTCTATCCTGCACAGTCCGATCCTGCACAGCCCACATAGAAAACATCAAGTCCAGAGCAACCCCAAGTAAAACTCAGACATTAGAACATAAAACACCAACATGGAGACTAAAGAAATAACAGAAAGTACATACTGACCTGAGTTTGGATTTTGAGATGGCTTGACTGAAAGAAAAACACAAAGAACACAGTTCCTGTTAGGAAGGTTTGAGCAGACCCACCCCGACACTCAGCTGAGATACCCTAAAAGCCATGCGCTCAAGCCTGGACTCAGCCTCCCTGGTCTCACCCTGGACCAGCTGGGGTAGGAGCAGAGCAGGGGGCAAGGTGCTGCCAGTGTCAGGCGGGCCAGGCTGAGCACTTTTTAAGGTCAGGCAAGAGAAGGCTCTTAGCCAGATACCCTGAGCAGCCCTGGTACAGACAGTGATGCCAGGCTTTCTTCTCCCAAACCCCACAACAAAAGCAAACGGGGCCTCTGCTGCCCAAGACTCAGCTGCTCGTCTTGACAGCAGCATGTGTTGCCATGAGCAAGAGGAGCACCGAGCTGGGAGTCCCAGCTCTACTGTTCGCTGACGGGGCAGGCACCAGCGAGCAGCACCCCTTTGGGGCCTTAGTGCTCCTGTCTGTGAGCTCGTTCCCTGCCTCCTTCACGTGCTGCAGGGAGGGCGGAACAAGAGACGCAGGCAAGTCCATTTCATAAACTGAGTGTTCTGCCCAGAACACATCATTTTTATGAACCTCTGTCATGGAGATCAAGTTCTCTTCAGAACGACACCTATATTTTACAGAGATAAGACCTCAGGATATTAGCAGGAAGCAAACAAAACTGCATTGGGCTCCCCCAAAGCAGGTGGCACTCTGTTGGTCCCCCTTGCTGCAGCCCGAATCATCTAGAAAAAAGCCAACAGGTGTTAATGTGATGGAGGCCTGCATTGTTAGGAGTGGTAAGGTGCAAGGAGCCAAAGAAAAAGTGCCATGAGTAGAGGCGGGCAGGGTGTGGTCTGCGCAATGGTGAGGTTGGGAGAACCCGTGAGTGAAGGGAAAGTTAATTCACAGCCCACTACAGTCAGCAACTCTGCCATACAAGCGCTTCTTCACAGCACTGATGCCAACACCAAACTTGGAGAAGAATCGGCTCTTTACCCCCACCGCCGACACCCAGAGGGCCCAGCCTTGGAGGTGCCTCTTCTTTTCCACCAGCACCTAGTGAATACAGTTGAATTGCTGGGTTACCCGGCTCCCCCTACAGGAGGCCCCCCTCAGCAGGATAAAATCTTACAGGAAGCAGCATGTGAAATGCCCAGGGCTGGGGATAAGACCAGGAGCAAGGGGTCCAGGGTGCACCCGCCACCCCTCTTACACCTAAGGCTATGCCCCAGGACAACACTGAAATCTGGGGTAGCTTCCTTGCTTTTGATTCTCTGAGACAGGAGGAGCCAAGAGGGCAAATGACCTCCATACTCACCAGAGATTTCCACAGCAGCCTTGGTTCTCGCCTTCACCACTTACGTTCTCGGTGTTCACAGACTCAGTCTCACTGGTGGGCATGCTGGCTGTGGGGAGAAGCAAACCCGTTAAGACAGTGCTCTGGAAGGGCTGCATGCTGGGGAACAGGTGGGATGCAGGTCTCTGCCTGGCAGAACCTCTGGGAACTGGGAGGAAGGGCCCCTCGGGGTTGGAGGAGCAGAAGGACATGCTGAGAAGTTAGGCACTGCAGGGAAGCCTTTGAGCTGCTCCCCCATCAGGATGAAATTCTGTCCATCTGTCCACCCAGACTTTTCCTAAGAAAAGACACCTAGGGACAACACTGACTCTTGTTGCTGGGTCTGGCACCAGCTTATCTCTGAATTTTCAGGTTTGCACTGACAGACCACCAACAGGTATAACCTAGAAAAATCTGTGAACAGACCTAATACTGATAAATATTATTTTAAACATACCATGAGAGAAGAGGTATTATGGATGGAGAAGAGCATGAAGTCACCAAGCACAAAATCTCTTTTCAAGTTCAAGAACTATGCTTCTATTGATATTTAGCTTATTGATCTGGCATCTATGTTCTGCTGAACTTGTGAAGACAATTTGCAGAGTGCACTTACCAAAGAACTGGCAGTAGCACACCAGGGAAGAACAATCTTACAGGAAGGAGGTGGTTTTCTCCCTGCAGTGAGCAGGGGGCAAAGCTGACCACAGGCTCCTGTGACACTAGGGTCTCTGAATGGGTCTCGCTGCTCTACAGCAGGACACAGAGCAGGGGCAGGGGAGACAATGTGGAAATGCACACACCCGGGACCCACTCAGTGTCTGGAGGCCCGGGACCCACTCAGAGCCACCATCAGGCATGTGGGAGTTGTCCCTTAGCCATTTGGTAAGGGTCCCAGCTTTCTCCAGGTATTAGTGACCTGTCTAAATCTGATGGCACTAACACCACAATCTTGAGGGCCACTTCCATCTCTAAGAGTTTAATAATTAATCTTACTGTAACATTTAGTCATGATTTCCTAAAGAGCAAACTTCTGCACAGGCCGAAACTCTGAGGCTGTCCTCTCTAGGACTATGTCCTATGCTGGTGTCAATACTGGGCTGCATTTCATGCCGAAAGCTTCCTGTTTCAAATGATCTGTTCAAAACAATAAACCACACACTGCCTATGGGAAGGGGCAGGGGGACACATCATTTTGTATTTCTGTCAACTACTGTACATGAAATATACTAAATGCTCCCTAGGCTAAAGGTGGGGGGATGAAGTATCGGGGGCAGGGGGAGAGAAGAAATAAAGCCAAACTCCCCAAACAGCTACTAAGTGAGGCTGACCATGCAGCGTGGGGTCAGGGCAGTCCTGATGGAGTGGAGGTGTCCTCCTGCTCTCCAAGCTGTTGCCATCCTCCAGGTGGGTGGGGTGGTGGCTGAGAGCAGGTGCTCAGACTGCTGGATCTAAGTTTAAGCCCACATTTGTGACCAGACTTCAAGACTCCATTTTTTCATATATAAAATGGGGCATCCCTACTTTCAGAGTTATTGGCAGAGCTAAAGCAGATCAGACAGAGTGGGCCAGTACAGAGTGGATCCCCAGTGTTAAGCAACAAGTGAGGCTCAGAAATAGCAACCATCATCTCCTGGAGGTGTCTGGAAGCAAAGCAACACTCCCTGCAGGGTCCCAGGCCAGTGTCACTTCACCCCGGCCACTTCTGTGGCTGCACAGAAGTGAACCATCCTCCCTACTTCCGAAACAGCCTCCACTTGTGGTTTGTATCTTTTCTATCTTAAACTGAGTCATGTCTGTCTCACTTGGCCTGCTGTAGAGATGACAACTTTCTGCTATCATTATCTGACACCTACAGAACCACAGGCCTGTAATAAACAATCTACTCCAGAACAACATCACCAGGGCTGAGAAGGAGGGGAGGGAGGGGTGACTGTGCTAGAATTTGGTGACCTCATGTGGTCCTGAAAGAGCCTTTCTGTTCACTCCCTGCCATGGGACAGCATTTCCTTTTCCTAGAGGATGAAAACATCAGACCCAGTGGGTACAACCAAAAAGCCTGCTCATGCATTTAAACATTTCACCCTTCACTTGCACTAGGCATTCATTTTTTTAATGTCAATAAATTGATATGAGTTACACTTCACTTAGCCCCAATCGGCTTTGTGAAGTATGTTTTCAAAAAGCAGGGGAGGACAGTGGCGCAGTGGTTGAGCGCCGCGCTGTGAAGCTGTCTGCAGCACCGGTTCGATTCCCCGCCGGCCAGGGAGAACCCCACATGGCACAGCAGACCTCTCCTGCCTCTCCCGCTGCTCCCCTCAGCAGTGTCTTCGCTCTGTCTGCCTGTTGTGTTCCCCACTCTGGCTCTGGTGAATTCTCTCACCCTCCTGCGCTTCTGACCTGTACCCCAGTTCTTGTATTAAATAAATAAATAAATCTTTAAAAAAAAAAAGCAGGGGAGGAGACTCACAGGCTGTTAGAACTGGAAGGGGTTTCTAAGGTGACAGGAACAAACTCTGTGATTTCACAGATGAGAAAACAGATGACTTTGCCTCAGGACACCTGGCTCAGATGTGAGAATGTCTGCCCGCTCTCCACACAAAGCCACACCATCTCTGGGTACACTTAATTAAATATACGGTATACATCATGGTATTAGTATATACTTAAAATTTCACAAATCAGAAAGTTCCAAAAGCCAAGCAAGTCTTATCCATCAGCCTTGGTTTGCTGTTCTAGTGACCTATATTAATCCCTGGAAACCTGGCATACAGATCACTTCCAGGATCACTTTCTCCAGCAAATGGAGAAAATACAAAAATCAAGTTGCTATGGTGACCACTGGGACTTTATAAAAATCTGAACAGAAACCCAAGTAAGTGAAACCATAGGCAAGTGACTGGAGCACAGCCTGTCCCCTAACTGGCTGCCACATACAGGTTGAGTGCTCTGTTCCTTTCAGCATCCACGGAACAGGTGACCAGGCCTCATCAGGCATGCATGCAGAAAGAGCCCTCAGCCCCACCGTGTCCCCTACAGGCGCCGGTTCCTCCAGCAGAGTAAGCAGGGGTCATCTGCCTGGGAAGAAGCTATAAATACTTTCCCCTGCCACATTCCAGGGAATGTTGTGTTTTATTGAGGATTTTTTTTTTTTAAGAAATAAATTTTAAAAGTTTCCAGTGAATCTGGGTGAAATGAGGCGTTAGAACAAGGCTGTCAATTATAATGGGGTTCTGAGTTGCCTCGCAGTTTGCCTGCTGACAATCTCGGGAAGTTTGGGGCTGATGCTTCAAGATCTATTCCAGGTTCCAGGCTCTCTGGGCAGAGCTCCAGGGAAGACCCTTAGGCTTAGAGTGTGGGGCCGGAGTGCAGCTATCGTTGGTGCCATAAAGCCAGACAGCAGCCCAGCATACCAGGACTGCAGACGAGAGTGGTCAAGGCCTGCCCAGAGCCACTCGGGCAGGGGAGTCACTGCGCTTCTCTGTAAGATGCTGCACTGGACCCAGATGCCATCATGGGCAGTGCCATGCCAGTGCCAACACAACTAGCATTTTCACCAACGTATAAACTTTCTTCCATCTACTCTCACTCTGCAAGACAACACACTTCTCAACCAAATCTGCCCCGCCTGTGAATTCTGAGGGAAATCCATCCCCATACATACACACACACACACACACACACACACACACATCCCCTACCCCACCCCCCCAGAGTCTTTGTGTGCCAAACACAAAAATGTTTACATTAAGTGGTATGTCAAAGTCTTAGACCAACTTCCTTCAATCATGGAGGTTCTGAGGTCAAAGATTCTAGAAAACATGTTGGAAGCGCATCTTTGTCAACAGTGATACAGAGATGTCTCTTTTACTACCTGGTTTGCTTATCTAATCTAATAAATAAGCTTTGGGCCTTTTATGTCTGACCTGCTAGAACTGCTGTCAAGAGGAAGCACCCACAGGCTGTCTGCACCAGGGGGTTCCCCTCATCTGCTCCCAGCGTGGCAAGAACAGGGAATATGCAGTGCTGGGAAGCCCCTGCCCAGCCCTCAGGGGAGTACTCGTGGTCCAGCAGCCTGCCCAGGAAAACTGATTCCAAGTCACCTCCAAGGCAGAATGCCCCAGGGAAGAGCAGCAGCCCAAGCGACCTCAGTCAGTCACGGGAGACCAGGGGGCCTGACTAGACCTGGCCCAGAACTCCCCAACCTCCTTCTGGGGACTGTCACAGCTATAGCCTCATTCAAAGATGTCCTGGGTCTCTGAGAGCCTCACTTTGCTTCCCTGAAGAGAGTACTCAGGGGTTTCTCTAAGCATTTTGCTCCATGCCCCAGCAGCCAAAAGCTTCTCACTCTTTCTTTTCAAAGGAAGTGGAGAGGAGGGACTGGTGAAGATACATAGCTGAGCAGCGGGAGTCAGGGCTGCTGTCTCCGGGGACAGGGGATCTGTAGCCAAGATCTTGAGCTTTGATCTTATTTTCATGACCAGTACCATGACACCCCCTGAAGGCACCTGCCTGTGCTGGCCAGTGGTGACATGCTCAGTCATCGCAGACTAACAGTCTCTTGTTGATGTAAAGTCAGGCTGTCTTAGAGAATGCAGGTCAAGGCCAGACCAAGGATTCTGTGTCTAAAGCAAGAACTGAGCCCTGACGATAACTATTTCTGTAAGACGAGTGACGCAAGGAGTAAATTATCCACACACAGTCCCTGCTTCTCCAGTCCCACCACCAAGGTCAGGGGCCTTCCTGGCACTCCTCTGACACGCACACCCCCCATTCCTTCACCAGTCTATAAAAGAGCACCCCTACTCAAAATACAGAAAGTTTCCTGGAAATATTAGGCAGCTTTCTCTCCCTGCAGGTCTCAGAAAACTACGACAGACGCTCAAGGGATCCTTGAAAGTAATGTGGCCCAACCCTACTCAGGAGGCTTGTCCGAGCAGGGTCTTCTCCTCTCCCGGGAACAGGGGCCACGTGTGTTCTCAAGGTAACCAGAGCTGCAGTCCTCCATCAGTGTTTGAAAATGCTTTTGTATTAAGTTCAAGACAACATTTCCTGGGCCTCCCCTGGTGG